ATATGAAGGTTGCAGAGAAGTTCCCGTAGTTATACAATAGGCAATGCCACATACACAAACCAATTGACAGATCTATTGAGAGATAGGATATGACTGCTTATTAAAATTTGTAAATCAATGGATTGTACCCAACAATCGATTACTTAACTTAGCAAACATTTTATGTTATAAGAATGACTAGATGGGGGGTAAAATTTGGGGGGTAAAATATTGGGAACCATTGGTTCCATAGCGAAAATGACTCATAAATAATAACAACTTAGAAAATCAGAATATATATATCATATATATTAGCAAGTGTTGGAGAGGTTGTGGAGAAATTGGAACCCTTGTGTACTATTTGTGGGAATGTAAAATGGTGCAGTCATTGATGTAAAAGAATATGGTAATTCCTCAAAAGCGTAAAAATAGAATTACCATATGATCCAGAAATTCCACTCTGAGTATATATCCAAAAGAATTGAAAGCACGATCTCAAAGAAATATTTGTACCCCTATGTTTATAGAGCATTATTCACAATAGCCAAAAGGTGGAAGCAACCCAAGTGTCCACTGAGGGATGAACAAATATGATGTATATACACACAATGGAATGTCATTCAACCTTAAAAAGAAAGGAAAATCTAATACATGCACAACATGGACGAACCTTGAGAACATTATGCTAAGTGAAATAATCCAGTCACAAGATGACAAACACTATATGATTCCACTTACAGGTGGTATCTGGAGTCGTCTAGCTGAGAGGCTAAGTAGCATGGTGGTCCCAGGGTTGGGGAAGGCAAACAGGGAGTTATTATTTAATGGGACAGAGTTTCGGTTCTGCAAGACAAAAAGAGTTCTGGCGATGGATGGTGGTGATAGGTGCATAACAATGTGAATGTACTTAATGCCACCCTAACTGTACACCTAAAAGTGGCTCAGATGGTAAATATGTTATGTGTATTTTATCATTTAGAAAATATATATATATATATTTTTAAAGTAGGCCAAATGTTTTTAACCTTTTCTTTATTATTGCTGCCCCCCAAAGAACTCTTTTTAAATACTTTTCCCCGATGATCCTTTTCCAAAGAAATATTAATAGCAGAGATATGCCATATATGTGTACAGTATGTATGCCAATGTTTTATACATTAAAAGAGTAAGATTTTTTTTGCCTCCCAAGAACTACTTTCCACCCTCATTGAGAATGCATGCATTAGGATGTAATGACATGAGATGAGAGTCTATAAGGACAAAACACAGTATTTCTGACTGGTATATGTGAGAATAAACAGTCATCTTTTCTGTCAAAGAACAGTTAAGGCAGCTGCCATTTTGGCTCATGTGACTTGGCGGCCGCCATGTTAGCCACATGACTTGCAGCTCCCCTGGGGGCCACCATCTTGAAACGGCAAAGGCCAACTCCTCCCTTTGAATTAGCCAATCAGAAAGACTGTGCACCTGAGCTCCAATCAAGAGTGAGGGACAGGTCACGTGCGTCAGGATTAAAAGGCCGAGCAGACCGCCTGCTCAGTGTGCATGTGGTCCCAGACCATGTGCTGTGCACCCTCCTGCAGGAGGAAAGATACTTGCCCCGCTGTCTGGCTCCCAAGTATGTTTTGTGTTCTACCAGGACCCCTGAATTTGGGGACTCGCCTTATTTCTTATAGTATATGTTAAAAGTACAAGTTGGGATCATGTGACAGACTAAAAGAAGTCTATATGCAAAAAGTATCAAAAACTATTCATTTATTCATCCATTCTCTTATTTACATACTAGAGGCCTGATACACAAAATTCGTGCAAGAGCCTTGGCCCTGGCCCCTGCCCGCTGAAGCTTTGTCTGGAAGGAAGGATGTCCAGAAGGACATCTGGTTTAATTAGCATATTACACTTTTATTATATAGATTTTCTAAGCAATCATTATGTGTTAGGCCCTGTGCCAAACACTAAGGATACAATAATAAACAAAATTAGACATGTTCCTTAACCTCATAGTACTTATAATTCAGTGGGTGAGACAAATATTAGTCAAAAGTCACACAAATAAATGTAAAACAGCAACCTCAGTAAATGCCTCAAAAGAGTGATAACTTGGTGCTGAGGAAGCCAGGAGGAGGTCCCTGTGAAAGTGATGATGAGCTGAGGTTGGAAGATGAAGGCTTTAACCAGGAAAATGGGGAGGGAGACCTTTCCATGGATAGGGATAGGCTGTGCAAAGGACCTATGGCCAAAGCGAGGGAGTATGGCACCCAACAGAACCCAAAAGAAGACATGAGTGGCTGGGACACCACGATCCACGTGGAAAATAACGCAAAATGAAACTAGCCCAAATGTCAATAGTTCCTCAACCTCGTCACTATTGACATTTTGGGCTTGATAACTCTTTGTTATGGGAGGTTGTCCTAAATATTCTAGGATGTTTAGTGGCATTCCTGGCCTCTAACCACTAGATATCAGTAGCACTTCCCCTCAAGTATGACAGCCAAAAATGTCTCCAGACATGGTCAAATGTCCTCTGGGGAACAAAATCACATTTGGCTGAGAACCACTGGAGAGAAATAGACTATGTAGGCCCTGTTCAGATGTTTTGCTTTATTCTGTGAGCAATGGGATACCTTTTAGGGATATTAAAAGGAAGGAGGAGGGACAGTTAAAACTGCATTTCTCAAAGATCCTCTGCCAGCAGTGAGTACAATGGAGGGGAGGGAAAGCCAGAGGAATGCGGATAGAACAATTAGAGGCTAAACCAGTTTAGACGCTCCTAAACTAATCCTGGTGAAAGATAATAACAGCTTGGACAGGGTGGTGGGCGGTGGGATTGAGAGAAGTAGATGGATTTGAGAGATAGGAAGTAAAATCAACAGAACTTGGCACTAAATTGGACATGCAGGGTGAGGCAGAAAGACACATCAGGAGTGATTCACGCAAGAGGAAGTGAATGGGTGGTGCTGCTTATGAAAATGGGGATGCTGGAGATGGCCTAGGTTGGTGGGGAAAGATCACACAATTTGATCATGTTAAATTTGAAGGGCCTTTGAGATGCCCAGGAACAGATGCCAAATAAGTAATTGGATATGTGGGTCTGGACCTCTAGAAAGTCTGGATTGGAAATATAAATTGGGGAGCAAATGGTCTAGGGAAGGTTATCTCAGCTGTCAAAGTGTAATGTCTCTTGAGGAAGGAATATGGGAGGAAAAGATGAGGTCCTAGGACTAGGGCTTGAGTATGGCCGCTATTTAATGACATGATAGAGAAAAATACACCTCAAGCACCAGAGAAGGGACGGCTGGAAAGTTGGCGAGATCAAGGAAAATGTGAAGTCCTGGGAGGCCAGGAAGAGCGTGAGTCAAGAAGCAGGAAGTGCTAAATTGTGTCAGATGCTCCTGAGAGATTATATAAGTTAAAAAGGAAGCCTGCTGGATGTGCAAAAAAAGTCATTGTTGGTCGTGGTAAAAGGGTTTTGGGTGGCTTGATGGAGATAGGCCCCAGATGAGAATGGGGGAGGAGTAGAAGGTAAGGGAATGGAGACAGTGAGTACAGAGAACATCTTAGGTTGGACCATGAGGAGGAAAGTCATAAGGTGGAACCTGGGGAAGGGTGTGAGGGTTTAAAATGAGAGGGACATGAGCGTGTCTGAGTGTCAATTGGAAAATATCTGGTTGAGTGGAGTTGGATATCCAAGGAGGAGAAGGGATGCTTCAGAGGGGGGAGGGCTGGGAAGAGAAAGACCTTGGAGAAGGGGAGGAGAATCGTCCACTATAGTGGAGAATCGTCCACTATAGTGCAGGAAGAAGCAGGAGAGGAGGGTGTGAATGTAGTGTGTGTGTGTGTGTGTGTGTGTGTGTGTGTGTATAGAAGTGGAGGGGCTTCTGCTGAGATTTAGGGAGGCTGGGCATGGGGGAGAGGAGTGAATTCAGAGGCTTGAGAAGAATGGAGAAGTTTGAAGTTATGAGGATTATCATTAGAATGAATCTCAGAAAGCAACAGGTTCTCAGTCATCTAAGAAAAATAAAATTATGATGGGAGTCCTCAAATTACTTATAATGTTAGTTTCCTAAGGCCACCATAACAATGCACTACAAAGTGGGTGGCTCACAACAACCGGGAAAGAAATTTACTCCCTCACAGTTCCAGAGGTGACAAGCCTCAAGTCACCAGGGTCAGCCCCTGAGGAGGCCCGGAAGTTCCTTCCTTGACTCTTCTGGCTCCTGGGAGTTGCCAGCAATCCTTGGGGTCCCTTGGCATTCCATGGCCTGCAGATGCATCACTAAAACCTCTGCCTCTGTCTTCATGTGGCCTTTTCTCCTATGCAGTTGTCGCCAAAGTTTTGTCCTTTTATAAGGACACCAGTCATTGGATGAGGGCGCATCCTAATCCAGTATGACCTCGTCTTAACTTGTGTACATCTGTAAGGACTCTACTTCCAAATAAGGTGACATTCACAGGTTTCAGATAGACATGTATTTTGGGGGGACACTATTCAATCCAGTATATTACTAAGGCATGAGACTATTTTAATGCATTTTAGAAGTATTTAGAAGATGAAAACAAAGGTATCTTTAGCAGCTAACATTTATAGGTCTCACGTGCCTCCTAAGCACAGTGTCACATACTCCTGACAACTGTTGTAGTGTCTCTACTGTTCCCACGTTACAGATGAGGAAACAGAGGCTAAGGGTAGATGAATGACTTAATCAAGGTGAGATCCTGGCATTGTGGACTCAGGCCTTGTGACTTCAGAGACCACCTTTAAAGCTCGGTTGGCTCTGTTGCCTTTTCCCAGGGAATCCCAAATTAATCAGAACACCTCCTCAGCTATTTATCTACGTCAGAAACTTCCCTTTTCTGCCAACATACTTTGCTAATATCTTTTTCTCTATATACAGCTCTTGATTCTTCAGCATGTCTATAGCTCTGTGCATGGGAGAAGAAGTCTACTGTCTGCCATTTGGGCTGGAAAAATACAGCTCTCCCCTTTCCACTAACTTCCAGGCTTGGCTTTGTTTACACAGGTCCATGGCACCCAATTCATGGAGTTCTCAGAAGTGGAGAACCAGGATGACTACTATAGCACCGAAGCTGGCTACATCCACACCCAGGACCAGCAAGGGGTGCATGTCATGTATGACGAGGCCTTGAGTGACCTGAAGGAACTAGAGGCAGAACTGCTGCTGGTGGCCAGCCATTACATTGAGAAAGAAAAAGGTCAGAAATCAGATTTGAAAAAAATCAACCAACCAAACAAACAAAAAACACTAGGGGCTTAATTTAACAACCCCCATCTCAAAATATAAATGCACTAATTCAATAAGCACATACACCTTCCCAACACACACCCGCATTAGAAAAGATAGGGCTCTGTGTCAGCCTAAGTGCCCCTTTTGTTGGAGACTGACTACTCTCTCAGGGTTTGGTTATAATTCTTACTGTTGTTTAGACTCGTTGCCCAGTGACATTTCTGCATCACCCAGTGGGTGCAGAGAATGTCATGCAGGGCCCTGAGGGAAGCAAAGGAAGCCATGAAATCAATTTTTTTTCTAAGTAACAAAAAAATGTGATTGGCCTTGGGAAACTGCAGTTAGAAACAGGGGCATCCCTGGGTTCATAACAGAAAACCACTAGATGCGAGAAGATCTGGCTCAGAAGATGCCAGACAAGCCCCAGAGGGAGAAACCATTACTCAGGGTAATTGAATAACCGTTAGTCTGTATTCGCTCTTCCTTCTGGCACTACTCAAATGTATCCAATTTTAGAATAGGCGCGGTAAGAATATTTCTTTTGAAATAATATGACAGCATTAGCATTACATTGGAAAAGAACTTAAGAGTTTCTAGATATATTGCAATACCTAAAGGAAAGATAGCAAGGGTTTATGCTATTTTGTAATATATTAGACCATAATTAAAGACCATTCATATTCACATTGTTATAAAATCCTGCTTGAGGACTGTTTGATAATTAACCTTTCAGATCCTAGGCAGAATTAATTCACTATTGGCTTGAACTCTCTGTCCTATCTTTGCCACCGACCATCTGGGATCTGACTCGGGAAGCAGCAATGGCATCCACCATTCCAGGGCATTCGATTTCAGCTCTTAGCCTTTATCTTTACTAGCTATCCTACATATGAATGCATCACTTTTGTCGATAATAATTTATAATACCATGCAACTATTTCCAGCTGCTAAGAATTTAATTGGATTGAAACACGTAGTAGTCATTTAGCTCCATGAAAATCTTTTAGCTGAGCTAATTGGTATACAGTCATTGATTGTGATGATTTCCATGATTTTCCAACTGCTGCTAGGAAAACTCCTGATCAAAGTCTTTCTCTTGTGTTCAGTAGCCATCATAAACCTGACAATTATTGAATTCAAACTTTAGCCCCTGAAAAGCTCTTACTGTTAAATATTTCATTCTGAAATCGATCACTTAAAAATTTAAAGCAATAATAATGCTGATAATGAAAACTAACATTAATATATTGGACAAATATTTCTGCTGAATAATGACAATGATTACATTTATTTATATAGGTTAATGATTAATGTAATTAAATAATATCTTAGAAACTTCTCTGAAAATTTTGACTTGGCTAACATCAATTGAAGTAGCAGGTGGAACTGGGTTTGTTTTTAAACCACCAGGAACCTGGTTTTAGAAAAGAAAAAAATTATGTTTTGCCTTTAAATTACAGGTTTGAGAATATTTTAGTAAAGGTTTTATGTTAATTGAATTTGGTTGTGTTTCCAAAATTAGTCTTTAAAACTGAAATTGTAAAGGCAAACAAGAATCCCTGTTGACTAAGTCAACAAGTATGAACTTTGGGCTTTGTCTTTGCTGATGGCTCCTTAATGATTTAGAAACCAGTTGCCATTCCTTTTTCTTTCCTAAAACAAAGCTGATAATCCGAGGGCGCATTTCTAATAGGAACAGCTTCATGGAGAGAGGTCTGGCTCTGGTCATTGTCATCACTTCTCTTCCAGGTCACAAAGAGGGCAGCAAGTCAAATGCTGGCCAGGTCTGGGGATGGGCCCATGCAGGAGTGGACAGATTTGCTGTGCTGTGTGACCTGTGGACTTGGGAGGCAGCCCTTCTAGAAAACAAGCGCCAGGTATTCTTGCCTAGAAAACAAACTTTGGTTAAATAAACATTCTTACAAAACTCAATACTTTTAAAAACTCAGTGGGACTTTCCTGATAGCTCCCTTTTAAGTAAGAATGAGAGATGACTCCATGCATATTCCTTGACCTGTCAGGACAGCCCTCAGTCTACTAAACACAGACAGACTGACGACCTTTTGTGGCCTGCAGAAGTGTATGCCCCATGTGGGTACGTGAGAGCAGGGGGTAAGGCGTGCTGAGTTACAACAAGTATAGGGTAAATTTAAGGCAATAAGACAGTGAGTTACTAAATCACCATCCTGTCGTTAATGGTTCATATCCCAGTAATAAATGACAAACTGCTCCTTAGCATGTGTTGTTGCCCTTTTGATAATCTCTAACTGTTGGGAGTTTATTCATCAAACATTAAGTATTTACTCTGTACCAGGTACTGTTCCAGGCACTGGGAACATATAGACACAAGAGAATATTTATAAGGAATTTGTAGCCTGTAAACATTTATCTGATCTCTAAGCAAAATGATAACCCAGTGGCACATGCAAGAGCCTTGGGGACCCCTGCCCTGTGGGGGCGGGGGTGCTGCCAGAATAAAGGAAATGTTCCCAAGTCTTTCTGGAGGAATAGGTGTTTAACCTGGTTACTAACAGGTACGTAAGGTATTGTCTGTCAGGGAAGGAAATATCCGTAAGCAGAGGAAACAGCATTCGCAATGTTGGGGCGGTCTCAAATGGGGGAGCGGGGAGTCTGGAGACAGGCAGGAAGACTGCTCTGGCTCAGAGGGAAAGGCGTGCTGGGAAACAAGGTGAACCTGTGTTTTGGGTGCAGCCTGGGAAGGACCTGCTGATCCACGCTTCATTTAGAGTTTACCTTATAAGCAAGGAAAGCCGTCGGTGAGTTTCAGCAGGGGAGAAACACGGTCACAGCTTTGTTTCCATGTGGTAGCTGTGTGGTGTCAGTGCGTAGGATGGCCCGGAATGGATAGCTCCTGGGGAAAGAAGTGCAGGTATTGCAACAGGTACCTGAGCGTCAGGAGGGGGACCCACACCGCCGAGGGTGTAGCCGTGGGACTAGGAAGGAGGAGCAGGCTGAGAGCTCTTTGGAGAAGTGGAGAGGGCGGTGGATGCTGGAGGGAGAGAGTAAGGATGGAGCTGAAATGACTTCCTCAGGGTCGGGGAGGCGGCTATCAACTGGCACAGAACGCCGCAGCGGGGCCGTTGGGGGGAATAACACTGAGTCTGGGGTGCAAGGCCTGTGGGAGAGTGTTCTGAAGCCGGGCTGGATGTTCGGTGGGTGCTTGTCGTTTTGAAACTCAGGAGCAGGTCTGAGCTGAGGTAGGAATGTGGAAGTTGGACCACAGCAATGAGTCGAAATGACTAGAAAAAGCCAGAGATGTCTGAAGTGGGCCCCTGGGTCACCCCTCCAAGGGTAAGGTCATGGCATAAGAATCCATGAGAGGAACCAAGAGTAGCCAAAGAGACTGGAGAGAAATGGAAGGAATCGTGTTATGAAAGTCCACGGGAAAGATGTGTCTTAATTAGGAGAAGATAGCCACTAGTGCGGCGCGCAGTGAAACATCAGAAAGACGGCTCCCAAAGCCAGGCGGCGGGCCAGCCATAGGAGGTCATGGCCAGCTCTGCAGGCTCTCCGAAGTTACGGGGTGGGAGCCAGGATACAGTGTGATGTGGTCAGACAGGGGAAGTGGAAATGTTTTCTTGGAATTGCTTTTCTGGTATTAGATGGTTTACCATTTCATCTACTCTCTGGTGTGTTACTCATGGAGATGTAGGTCACCCAATTAAAAACAACAAAACTAGCTGAGCTTAAAGGGTGCAAACCCTGGGCTTTGAACGCGGTTCCTCTTTTTGAAGATAACTGGCCTTTAGAGTTTGCATCTGCAACCTTGATCAGCCAGTTAGAACCGTAAGATCAACTGAGTAAATGAGGGATTTAGGCTCAGAGTGTAGTAACCGGAAAGGCCGCATTAATTGTAAATAAGACAGACTCCTCAAACTCGACAAGTGTATTCATCCAGACAGGAGTTTTAAAGAAATCATTTTCACTTAAAACAATCACTGCTAATTCCTTTCTACCCTGAGAATAAGTTCCCCGTAGAAACTGAGCTGTCTGTGCCAAAGCTGTAACACGGGGCCTCCTAAGTGAGAAATCCTGTCGAAAGAGCCTATTTTGAACGGATAAACCGGACTTTTATCTGGAGTGTGGTTGGTTTTCCCCAGCATTGGTTCTGCTGCCAAGTTTCCTCAGCTGGTTTTGATTGTTAAATTACTGGAATCACTAGAATGTTAAGAATTGCTCGAACACATTGGGTTGTCTTAAATTTTTAAAGAGACCATATTATGTATAAATGCTCATAACATCAGAGCTGGTGTGAATTTAGGTTGATTAAGGGACTCATAGAGGAGCCAGATATCCGAGGTGCCAGCTCCTGAGTGATACTTGTACCAACTGCTAATTCTCTCCACAGCCACCAGAGGACACATTTTTAGTTGAATTTGTGTTTGGAGCACTTTAAAAAAAAATCTGTTGACAGGCTGCATCTAGCATTGGTTTTCTGTTTTGCACTTTCATTTGACCTGAAATACTATATTTAATTTTTTTTAAATCCCAGAAATAGAGAAAAGTTTGAGTTAAAAATAATATAGCCCTGGCCGGTTTGACTCAGTGGATAGAGCGCAGACTGAAGGGTCTTGGGTTCAATTCCCAGCAGGGGCACATACCTGAGGTGCAGGCTCAATCCCCAGCCCCGGCCAGGGTACATGAGGGAGGCAACCAGTCAATGTGTCTCTCTCACATCAGTGTTTCTCACTCTCTCTGTCTCTCCCCCTCCCTTCCCCTCTCTCTAAAAAAATTAATGGAAACATATCCCTGAGGTGAGGATTAACAAATAATAATAAATAATAACAAATAACAATAATATAAACAAAGTAAGTTTTGAGATGATTCATTTTGGCTATTTTTCTATTTTCTCCAATACTCCATGCCTACCACCAGTGTGTACCTGAGAGTTGGCCCTTGACACACACAGGTGACATTTGACAGGCTAGGAAGACTTCTTAGACAAATACCAGCCCAGAGTTTAAATGGAAGTGGGCCAGTTAGCAAACAGATAATAAAGAGAACCTGTGAGGTGGAAAGATCACCGTCCTACCCCTGGGGAAAAAATTCATGATAAAATTATGCAAGCATCCATCCGAGAATATCTCAAGATTGGAGCCAAAGCTTCAGAAGGCCTTACCAGTTTAAACAGAGAGCCATGTGCTCCTTCTCAACAACTAGGGTTGCAGGGACAATATGACACTATTTGGGACGTATTTAACTGAAAAAATATTCATTGTTTATCAGAAATTAAAATTTAACAAGATAACCTGCATCCTTATTTGCTAAATCTGTCAATCCTATTAGCAACAAAAATAAGTGTGGCCATTTAGCTCCAGCCTCTGCAACCTGGTATCACCAGATTTGGAATCACTGGCAAGAAGGAGGGAGGCAAAGGGGAAGGGGAGATATAGGGAACATCTGCAATAGAGTCAACAATAAAAAAAATAAATAAATATAAAAGAGCCCTCCCCTTAAACTTCTCCTGCCAAATTACCAAACAATCGGGCTCTTTGTACAAAAACAGGTCAGGGCAATACAAATGCAACAAACTAGCTCCTGGGATTGCCCTGGCCCAGCAAAATGGTTCAAGTTAGGCCAGAATGATTTAGAGAAGTAATTGTTTCATTCCTACTCTTCCCCTAGACCCGTGGTCGGCAAACTGCGGCTCGAGAGCCACATGCGGCTCTTTGGCCCCTTGAGTGTGGCTCTTCCTAAGCCTTAGGAGTACCCTAATTAAGTTAATAACAATGTACCTACCTATATAGTTTTAGTTTAAAAAATTTGGCTCTCAAAAGAAATTTCAATCGTTGTACTGTTGATATTTGGCTCTGATGACTAATGAGTTTGCCAACCACTGGCCTAGACTATTCCAAGTGGTACCCTTCCTACACCAACTAGTCACTCCTTCTGCTTTGTCTTCTGCTACTTAATAATTGAAAGTTACTCCAGAGTAGAACTCTGGGGACAAAACGAGATCATTTAGCTCTCCCTGCAGGGCCAGGGCATCTCCACCTTCCATCATTTCAACTCTGAGATCTTGAAGTGTCTATGGAGCATTCTGTCCTGAGCTTTTAGCCTCCTTTGGTTGACCCAGAGTCCCTTAGGCCGGTGTTCCCCAAAGGAGTTCTTGCAAAACCGTATGCTACATCAAGTGCCCCAGGCTCTCCCTCCTTGAGCTTTAGCATTGAGACCCTCAGGTAGTGAACGTCCATTAAAAAGGCATTGATTCCTACTCTCCTGTTAATCTTCAAATGTTCACCTCCCTTGGGAGCCTCGGAAGCCAGGATTGGCAAAATGGAGACATTCCGGGCTATTCCTGCACCGTGGTTCCGCTATCCCCCATTTGCCTTCTGTGCTGTTGCCTCCTATATTCAAGTGGTGCTAACACCTTCTCTGTTCTTCCTGGTTTTGCATTCTTAGCGATGGAGGCCACACCATGAGAGGGGCTCTTCATCTCCTTTTAGGAAATGCCTTCGTTTTTTAAGAAGAGGGCTGACTTCAGGCCTGAAACCACCAGGAAAACCAGCACCCAGGGAAACAAAGCCTGTCTTTCTCCACTGCATCCCCCAGTGTGCAGGCTGTCGGGCTGGTAGAAACTGCAGCCTCAGCAGTTCCCTCCTTGCTGGCCAGTCAGCGCCTACCCTGGGCCAGCCTGTGTCTTTGGTGATAGCGCTACCACCAGAGCCGAGACCTCAGGAGAGGGAACCTCCCTGAGAGGAGCTAGTCACAGAAGACTTTCCGAAGGGACAGCTGTAGCGGAAACTCTGGGGGAGGATGTGTTGGATTCGTGTGGCAGAGGAAAGGAATTGGTTCCATTGTAAGACCCGTGGGGATGATAGTTCGGAAGCTTCCAGTCCGAGCCGATTTACCCATCAGGCCATATAGACTGGGTGTTTAGGACCTAATTGCTTTTCAGGGAACATTGCAAATGTTTGAGATCTGAGAAAAAACACACAATAGCACATACATTACTCCAAAGTAAGAAAAGAAAATACAAAATAGATGTCAATAAATGCTTCATTACATGTCTGTAAAATGTAAAAACGTGGTCAACTGAGCACTTATGAACTTCTCATTACATCTGAAAACACTTGATGGATCAGACTTTCTCACTTCATAAGAATCCCCAGGTACATACTGTCCGGAAATCATAGCCAGTCATTAATTAAATGTGTTGCTCATAGCCAAATATTTTGAAGAGCAAAATAATACATGCCACTTAACATTTTTACAGAAAAAATAATTGTATTGGGATGTGAGGACATTTTAATATATTTAATATATTTAATATATTGTTATAATGTGGGACAAGGAGTGAGAACGTCTAAGGCCAATGAAGGTTTTAAAACGACTAAAATAATAAGTACATTGTTCAGAACTACTTCCTTACCTTGCCTTTACCTTGCCCTTAGGTTCCTGTTTCAGATTCCAGCCCAGTGAACTCTGAAGAGCTTTTGCTGATTAGCACCATGACTGATCACACACAAATAGAATTTACACACAGAACAGAAATTCCTTAAGCTCACAGACAAATGTAAAAGCAAAATCAAGAGTATCTGGCCTGGCTGGCATGGCTCAGTGGTTGAGCATCGACCTATGAACCAGGGAGTCACAGTTCGATTCCTGGTTAGGGCACATGCCCAGGTTTCGGGCTCCATCCCCAGTGCGGGGTGTGCAGGAAGCAGCCATTCAATGATTCTCTCTCATCATTGATGTTTCTATCTCTCTCTCCCTCTCCCTTCCTTTCTGAAATCAATAAAAATCTAATTTTAAAAAAATAGAGCATCTGAATTCCCATAGGAAGGACACTCTTCAACCGTGCGTGTGTGGAAGCTCTCTTTGGTTTCTAGGGGAGGCTGTGACTCCACCAGGAAAGGAGTTAGCTCCCTGGATGCCTTTGGGAGTTCTGTACCCGGGCCCCTCCTGGTGGAGCCCGGTCTGGGAGAAATGTCTTTGCATTTGGGGGCACTTTCACCCTCAGCCTTCCATTCTACCACACCCCCATCATTCCTACATAGGTGAACGTTGGGAAGACCATTAAAGAGGAGTCAGAAATGGGGCTGAGGGTGTAGAACTAGGGAGGAGGCCGCCTGCCTACATACATTTGGTGATGGAGTGAAAGGGGGCGAGGAATGGGTCTGTGAAGAAAGGTGTGGAAGATAAATATATTTGATGAAGTGACCCTGAATGCACTGTGATTGGAGCTTATAATTATTAGAGGTGATATTCTTCATTATAGAACACTTCCCCCCTCCCTCCCCCCCCCCCCCCCGTTTTATCAGGGGAGAGCAGGGAAAAGGGGACAGAGGCAAAGCGAGTATTCTTTCCCTTGCCCTCCCTGACCTCCCTGTGGGTTTACTAATTACCCAGAGTTGCATGGGTCTGCAGCTGCCTGCACCAGCCCTGTACCCGGAGGTTCAGCACTGTCTCTCTCCTGTGGGTGCCCAGGGTCTTTCCAACACATCGAGTGCTGGTGCCTCGCCTCTCCTTGCTGGGCCCTAGGACTGCCTGCTGTTCCTGACTATCAACCTTATTTGCAGCTTCTCGACTGTTACTTTGAAGCCTACCAGCACACGCTGGACCCCGAGGAGAGGTTCGCCTTAGCACAAGTGATCACTGACATCATGTACAGGGGCCCCAGGTTTGATCTCAGCCACCCTTACTTCATTAAGGCCTACCGAGATGAATGCACCTGCCTGAGGCTTCACCAGCAGCTACTGAGGGGCATCCTCAACCAGCACGTGAGTACAGCGTCCTTAAAAACATTACCCTGCCCTGGCCGGGGTGGCTCGGTTGGTTGGAGCATGGCCAATGCACCAAGGGGTCACGGGTTCGATTCCTAGTCAGGGTATACACCCAGGTTGCCAAGTCAATCCCTGGTCGGGGTACCTACGGGAGCCAATCAACTGATGTTTCTCTCTCCCTATCCCTTCCTCTCTCTCTAAAATCAATTTAAAAGTAACAAAAATTAAAATATTACATGTGAGAAGGGGATGGAAAACATGGCCAGAACTGAAGATAGTGCTTTCCTTTCACTGTGGGCCCTGAATCTGGGTTTTCTAGGGCAGCATGTGCAGCATGTTTATTTGTAAGCTTATTTGCATGGTTGAATTCCAAGCATAGCTACAGTCTTTTTTTAAAAAAAAAATATTTTTATTGATTCCAGAGAGAGGAAGGGAGAGTGAGAGAGAGACAGAAACATCAACAATGAGAGAGAATCATTGATCGGCTGCCTCCTGGAGGCCCCCTACTGGGGATTGAGCCTGCAACCCAGGCATGTGCCCTTGACCGGAATCAAACCTGCGACCCTTCAATCCGCAGGCCAACACTCTATCCACTAAGCCAAACCGGCTAGGGCATAGCTACCATCTTAAAGGGAGGTTCCCAACCCTAATTACATTTACTAGTCCACAAAGAATGGAAAACCTGTTTTCATTAGATGATAGAGTTTATTGGTAATGAAAGAAGGACTAAACATACCCCTGTACAAGGCACTGATGTATACAACCATGTTTATTATTTTTAATGGTGTGACTATTTTTAGGACTAAAGGGAACAGTTACAGTATATGGCGTCTGAGGGGAAGCTAGTGGCAGGAAGTAGAGGGGAGGTAAAGATTGCTCCAGTCCATTTACCTTAGGCCTAGTTAGACTTTTCTCCTTGTACTCAATTATTTGACAAAAAGAAGTTTTCTTGTGCTTCTTACGATTGTCGGGAGCTGGTTGTCTTTGCTTCTCCTGGCTGACCCTGGGCTCGGACTGAGACCAGCATGTTCCTATATGAGTGGATCCTCCAAATTCTGTCTGAGTGAAAATTGGTCAGATAATGAAAAGATGCAAAGGGCTGATGTTTTTCTCATGCCAAGGCTCAGAACTCACATCCATGGGAAAGTTTAACTTTTCTAATTTCAACGTCTATGCGATATTTCTAGATAGAGCGGCAGCGGGAGTATGTCCAGAGGCTTTGGCAAGAAGGCCGTCCCGATGAGAGCAATAACTTTGGACTTCCCCTTAACATAATTTGCAAACAACTTATTTCCATCAACAATAGCTGGTAAGCTGGTGTTGTCTTTAGACATTTGACTTTTAATCCCCTAGATAAGTTAAGGGTATGATGTTAAGTCTGAACACTATTGCACAAAGCGCCTCTCAAGTATTTGGGGAGATGAGAGAATATCTATAAAAGCCGCAGAAGAGGGACTCCCTCGCACCCTCGGTATCACTTGCTTTAAGTAATAAAGAATAGGAGGCTCAAATTTAAACTTACGCCACTGGGTGCAGAATCTTCACTTCCTTGAGAAAACCTGAAAAAAAAAAGAAAAAAAGCAGTTGCTCTTGAAATGCTATCGGAAGATATAATCAGAGGTTGCACATAGCTGACATACATGAACCTTGATGTCCTTAAAAGTTTCTCAAAGAGGAATTTATTTTTTCTAGCAAGTATCACCAGAAAGGTTTCTGCAGACTCACCTTGTGGTCCCCCACCCCTTGAAGGAGCAAATTAAATCTCCCGAGACCACTCAGAGAGGGTACATACTTTAAAACCCCCTTGATATGTAGTATGACCTCTCCCCTCCTCCCCACCGCCCCCACCCCCGTTCCCTTCCAGCCTCAGAGAGTAAAGAAGGAACTGGGAAGTGGTTGACAAGCCTCTATTTGGTCTATGTAACTTGAGATCACAATTTCTCTATGGCCTTCAAATGGGTGGAAATATTGTCCAGCTCCTCTCAACATCCCACAAGTCTTTGTTGAGCACTGACACACAGCAGGCAGTGCGCTGGGAGTGCACTCGTGTTCTCACAGAGGGAGCAGCGGAGGCACGGCCCTGTGCCCCTGGGAGGTGGACAGTGCGGCGCTATAGGCAGACTCTCGGTGGGAAATTCCACATGGCTGCGGGATCATCTTGGGGACAGTGGGGTGTCAGGAGATGTCATAGCTGAGATTCAACCTTGTCTCTTGAGAAAGAATCCTTGAGGTCCCAGGCACAAGACTACATTTCCTCCACAGACATTTCTCAGGACTGATTTCTTCACTGTGATCAGCTTCAGACACCAGCTGTGTATGTGAAACTTTCTGTGGCAAGACTCTACTGTATAGAAAATGGTTTTTGGCAGAACATGCTAGGCCTGTATAAATACTAAGTCTTGTCAGAAGAGTCTCAAAAATAAGTGTTATTTGCTTGTTAAGATTCCTTTTCTCCTGAAGGTTGTATTTTTTAAGATCTAGGACTAAGAGGGATCCATTTGCATAGATTTAAAAAGTATTTCTATTCTTTAGTTCCATGTAGGAATACAAAGGCCCTTGACTTCTGTTATATCCTCCATTTCCAAAGAAATACCCACAGACAAGCCTTTTATCATTTCCAGCCTCATTCATTTATAAAACATAGCATCCTCATGGCAGACGTGAATGATTCCAGTAGTACACAGAATTTAAAAATCGTTTCTGTCCATTAACATTTTGGGGGAAAAGGAGGTAAAGACTCAAGTAAAAATAGAAACTAACCATGGAAATTATTTGTTTACTATTTAGTCACTTTTAAGTTACTGTGTTTTCAAATATATTTTTAAGTGTTTTTACTGATTTCAGAGAGAGGATGGGAGAGGGTGAGAGAAATAGAAAAATCGATGAGAGAGAAACATGGATGACTCCTGCATGCCCCCTACTGGGGATGGAGCCTGCAACCTGGTCATGTGCCCCAACTGGGAATTGAACCGTGATCTCCTGGTGTATAGGCTGACCCTCAACCACTGAGCCACGCCAGCCGGGCTGTTTTCAAATATTTGACTAAATATTGATTACTGAAATGTTGACAGGTTTGCTGTATATATTGTAAGAATCTTACTTTTATTTCACTTTTAGAATAAACTCATATCTTCCAAGTTTAAAAGGGTTCATATAAAAGTAAAGAACATGTTGTATAATCTAAAGCGTTCCCCAGACGGCCTATGAGGCCCTTTCAAGTTCCTGGGTTTAAAAAAAAAAAAAAAAAGTCCTGGCTTAAAGGAGCTGTTTTACTGGTCTTTAAAATTATAAAATTCAAATGTTTTTGGAAAGAGATTAAGTTCTTCATTGTGTAAAATTGTTATTCTTTGCTCCTCTTTTAAAGCCCCGCATTGAAAAACATTTATCTGCTGGAGTTCCACCCTTCCCTGGGCCTGGCATCGCTCATCCCCAGAGCCCTCGAGCACCTCTTCCAGGAGGCCCGCCACATCTGCAGGCCTGCATCACCCAGCGGCCTCGCCCTGCTGGAGAGGCGGCTGCTACAGCTGGCCCTGGATGTGTGGCTCACCCCAGCCACGCCCGAGTCCTGGTACAGCGCACAGCTCCAGAAAGATGTAGGTTCTCTGAAGTGGGGAAGGTGGGTCCTTGGCGAAGGGAATGTTTCCTCCCAGATGTTACTACTTAGCTTTGCTTTTCTGTTTGGCTCTATTCCTCCCCTATTTGGCCAGAGATAGATCATAATCCTAGGCCTTGCCAGCATTTTTATGTGATTTTGAGGGGAGGGGGGTGTCAAAGTGTCTAGTTTATCAGGATGCTGCTACAATGAAATTAAAAAGGAGATGTACATAGGTATGTGAGAAGTGTTTTCTGATTTATTAGTTATATTTTAACAATATACATTTTTTATTGAAAATGATATGTTTTCTTTCCACTAAGACTCTTTCTAAAATTCACTCCTTTTGTCCTGAGCTGAGGCCTGGTAGGGGAGAGAGAGGACTGAATGTGGAGTCAGGGACCTGGACTCAAGTTCAGCCTTGCCATTAACGTGCTGTGTGCCTTTGACTGGGTGTCTTAGCCTCTCTGAACCTCACTTTCCTATTGTGGAACATTATGTTTCTGTCTTTGAAGGGGAGTGGTGGTAGGTGAGTTTGATGACCTCTAAAGGCCCCTCCAGCTCTAATGATCTATGGTTCAAGCTGTGGTCCAATGACTTACTTGGTGTTTGCAGTTGGATTTTAATTCTTTTGTTTTTAGTTAAGGCTGTCACAGTTGAGCCTGGGTTTTCACTTGCTATATATGAAAGAATTTTCAAGGGCCCCAGATGCCAAAAATATCTGTTTCACGTGTCTGGCTCAGCCTTCTATTCCCTCCTACCCAAACTAAAATTTTATTTTATTTTAAATTAATGTTAAGTTGATAAAAATAAATTATTCCTCATGTGCATGTTAAATTATAATCATACACTTCATACAATGCTATCTCCTATTTTTCTCAGTTAACATATTATGTATCTTTCTATATTACTAACCAGTCTTTATACTCATTTTTATAACTGCATAATTCTCTAAGTGATGAATAATAACTTACTTAACAATTTGCCTATTGATAGGCATTCAAATAAGTGTCTAAATTTTCAATATTATTAAAAATGCTATAAGGTACATATATCTCTGTGCTTATAGATTTTTCCATATTTTGAACTAATTCTTTTTGATAAATTCTTGGAAGTGAAATTGCTGAAACAAAATTTAAGTCTTTGGCTAACATCTTGGCAGATTGCTTGTCAAGAGTGTGCCAATTAGGGTGCTGAACACAAAATACAATATACAGATGATGTATTATAGAATTGTACTCCTGAAACCTGTATAATTTTATTAACCAATGTCACCCCAATAAATCCAATAAAAATTGACAAAAAAGAGTTGTGCCAAATTACAATGCTATCAATAATGTTTAAGAGCACCAGTTCTGCTACATTGTATAATATTAGGTGTAAGCATAGAATGTTGGTTCCAATATATACATATATGGAAAAGGTGGACTTGTCAATTTTTTTTTGGTATTTATTGAGGTTAAATATTCTTATAAATGTCTGGTTATAAACTGTATTTTTGTGTGTGTGAATTTTCTGTTCTTTCCCTTTGTTTATTTATCTCTTCGAATTCTAATGTTATTCCTATCCACTCACATGAACTCTTCTTAAGTAAAAACTTTAATCCTTTCATTCTTCATGTTTTCTGCAAATATTTCCCCCAATTTGTCTTTTTATTTTTAACAGAAACTTATTTTCATATAGTTGATCTTTTCCTTTGTGATTTCTTCTGTCTTCCTAAATCCAGAAAGCAAATCTTCCCCTAGATTTTTCATATTTCTTATTTTATTCTAATTTCTTAAGATTTTCATTTTATTTAAAAAATATTTAACCCATTTAGTATTCTATCTGGTGTGTGTGTGGTGTGAGGTATGGCTCAAAATTAAATTTCCCCTCAAATTACCAGTCATGTATCCTCCTATAATTTATTGAGGATTCTTTTCATTTTGTAGTATGGTACCAGAGTGTTTTGTTGTTGTTGTTGTTGTTGTTGTTGTTGTTGTTGTTGTTAATCCTCACCCCAGGATATTTTTTCTATTTTTTTTTGTTTGTTTTTTATAAAGAGTAGAAGGGAAGGAGGGAGGGAGAGAGAGAGAAACATTGATATGAGAGAGACATATTGATTGGTTGCCTCCCGTAATCCCCACCCCCCAAACTGGGGCTGAGGATTGACCCACAACCCAGGCATGGGCCTTTGACTGGGAATTGAACCTATGACCCTTTGGTTCACAGGCTGACACTCTAACCACTGACCCTCACCTGCCAGGGCATGGTACCAGATTTTTAAAATGTATTTTAAATTCTCTTGTAAATCATAGTAAATATCTAAGATACTTATCTAGGTTCCCAGTTTTAATAATTATTACTTTTGAAATGTGTTCAAATTTGGATCTAGAAATGATAAATATTCAAATTAAACGTTTGTATTAGGCCAGAAAAGAGGGCATATATTACCCTCAGAGGACATGTAGGAATTAGTTTAATAACTTTATCACTTTTGGAAGACTTCAAGAGTCTAGAAATTGCATCCTTGAGAGACAAGGCTTTTGGTAGATAAATGGATGGATAGGGGAGTTTGTACATGCTCAGGGAGCCAAACTTGGAAAGGCAGATCAGGGTCCTGAAACTGGGTCCTTGCGGAGTGGTATATTAGAGAGTAGCAAAGGTGTCAGAGTAGAGGAACTGACCACGACAGGAGGGCATTAAAAATAATGGGATTATTTCACAAGTTGGAGGAGCGCTGTAAAGGCAGGTTAGCAGGGTGGGTGTGGCTCAGTGGTTGAGCTTCAACCTATGAAGCAGGAGGTCACAATTCTATTCCCATGCATGCCCTCCACTGGGGATCAAGAGCACATGCCCCGGTTGCGAGCTTGATCCCCAGTGGGGGGCATGCAGAGGGCAGGCAATCAATGATTCTCTCTCATCATTGATGTTTCTATCTCTCTCTCCCTCTCCCTTCCTCTCTGAAATCAATAAAAATATATATACTTTTTAAAGTATATTAAAAAAAATAAAGGCGGTTTAGTGTCCTGTAAAAAGGCTGAACTTGGGATTAGGAAGCCTGAATGTACTCTTGGTGTTGCTGTGTGACTCTTAGAAAGTTCCAGTGTTGCTTCAGATCCCTCACAGATCAAATCATGGCATCTGTGAAGCCCACTTTATGGGGATCTTGTGAAAATAAACGAGTTAATGTTGGTTAAAATAGTTTGAATTGTTGAAAGGCGATCAGAGGGGCTTATAAAAAATTATTATTATTATTATTGGCCATAAAATATTTGACAGATATCAGGACTGCTATTTCTATTTAGGTTGTCTTTGTCATTTCTATTCTTTATTTTGGCTTAAAACATTTATAACAGGGGTCCTCAAACTACGGCCCACGGGCCACATGCAAATACAAATATTGTATTTGTTCCCATTTTGTTTTTTTACTTCAAAATAAGATATGTGCAGTGTGCATAGGAATTTGTTCATAGTTTTTTTTTTTAACTATAGTCTGGCCCTCCAACGGTCTGAGGGACAGTGAACTGGCCCCCTGTTTAAAAAGTTTGAGGACCCCTGATTTATAATAATGATAACAACAAATACGATGTACCAGGCATTTTTACAGCTACTTACTCACTTAAGCCTCTTAACATCCCTTCTAGGTGATTACTTAGTGTCTATTAGTGCCTATTTTGTACTGTTATTATCCCCACTTTACAGATGAGGAAACTAAAAGACAACACGATAGAGTAAATGGCCCCAAATCTCACAGATTTTAAGTGGCAGAGCCAGGATTTGAGCCCAGAAAATCTGGATCCAGAATCTGTGCTACTAATAGCATTTTTCTTAATATGTGATATTTCTTTTGGAAAAAAAATATGCATATATTTTTAAAATACTTGGTTTTCTCTCAGCTGCTTTCAGCGAAGGTGATGGGCGATCCCTTTCTTGTGGAGGAGATAGGCCTGCTTGCCCTTAAGTCTGCAGCAGCTGAAGGACAGAACCAAGGCCGAGGTGCTCGTGTGCTGCTCCTGGAGACGTTTTCCAAACTTCTGGAACTTGTGACCCTCCGCCACCGGCTGGTAGAAATGAGCCTGGAGAGCGCACACTTAGCTCGGTCAGTGGGGGCACTGAGAGTCTGGTGGGGGGTAACAAACAGCGGGGCTTCCTGCCTACAAGCCTTGCCCTCTCCGTGCCCCCCGAACAGCCTGTGGAAACTTTCTAAATTGCTGAAATGGCCACCTGGCTTGCTCCTTCTCTCACGCAGGCCTTCCTACGTGCCTCCCTGACCACTTAGCTAGGCTAGGTCCTAGCACCTGGCCTTCCTCTCCATTCAGCACATTACCGTGTAATGAGATGCTTCCTATTGGTTTATTGGTTTTCCTGCTAGTGGAAGTTCCCTGAATACAAAAGCCCTGTGTGTATTGTTTTCCATGGTACCTCATCACCTGGGGCCAGGCCTGCCCTACACCAACACTCTAAATATTGACTGGATTTTTCTCTTGACTGTAATGAAGTTGAATAGCAGAGCAGAACCAGTAGAGGGCTAGACAAAGGAGAGGCAGTGACACCATTCCTGCCTTGAACGGTGTGGAAGGTTCAGCAGGTGAGGGGAGGGAAAGATGAATGAGTTAGGTGTTAGGTATGAGTGTGAGGTGATAGTAAGACACTTACGGAACAAGTGGACATGTTCCATAAGCAGGCAGAATATGGAACTAGAGGATTTGTTGCAAACCTGTGTGAGTTCGATTGTGTTCTGATCTTCATGAGAGGCCCTGTACACACAAAGGGTCCAGTCATCTACCACCAGCCATTTGTGAGGGCCTATTGTGACCTGGGTCTGTACTGGGAACTTCATGTGTATTCGTTCATTTAATTCTCAGAATATCCTTTTGCGGTAGCTTGCAAACATTTTGCCCGTGAGGAAGTAGAGGCTCAGAAAAGTTAAGTAATTTGCCTAAGATTGCATAACTAGAAAGTATTATAGAAGAATATACAAATTTAAACCACAAGTCAAGATATTTATTAACCTCTATGATATTATTTCCCCATAATTTCTGATCATAAATCTTAGAGCTCACAATGTAAAAGTCATCCCTGATACAGTTTGATAAGATACTGTAGTCGTGTGAACAAGATATTATGGGAGCACAGAAAATGGAGTATTTCGTTCTATTTAAGGGGATCAGGGAAAGCTTCATAGAAAAGGGACTGTTATGGGATGAATTGTGTGTGTGTGTGTCCCCCCCACAAATTCATATGTTCAAGTCCTAACCCTAGTACCTCAGCATGTGACTTTATTTGGAGATAGGGTCTTTACAGAAGAAATCAAGTTAAAATGAAGTTACGGAGCTGGGTCCTAATCCCATAAGACTGGTGTCCCTATAAGAAGAGGAAATTTGGACAAAGGCACACACAGAGGGAAGACAATGTGAAAACACAAGGAGAAGATGGCTAACTATAAGCCAAGGAGAGAGGCCTTCCTTCACAGCCCTCAGAAGGAACCAACCCGGCTGACACCTTGACCTCAGGTTTCCATCCTCCAGAGCTGTGAGACATATTGCTGTTGTGTAAGCCACCCAGGTTATGGTACTTTGTTACAGCAGTCTAGAGAACTAATATAGGTGCCATTTGAACTCAGCCTTAACGTGCCAATTTCTCAAGATGGAGAAATGTGTTAGAATGGGGGTGAGAGAAGAGGAGAAGGCATTCTAGACACAGAGAGCTGAAATGCCAGGGGACGCCCGAACGGAGCCTTGCTGCAAGCTGTGGAAACGTGGGAGTAGAACGCAGAGTTGGGCAAGATGGAGATGGGGTCCCTAGAGGGGACTGTTGGGGTGTGGGGCTGGAAGGCAGACACCCCAAGGAGAGTATGGAGAAGATGAGAAGAAGACTGGGTTTGGAACCTCAGGAAACACCAGGATTTGAAAATAAAGACAAGAAGAAGCCAATGAAGACAGAGAGAGTGGTCACAAGGTAGGAGCGTGGACATCCTGCGTCCAGGAGAGCAATGTTCCCTAAGAAGGGGACAGAGGCCAGTCGTGAAGAGTTCCACGGGAAGAAAATGGACCTTGTATTGAGGGCAGTATAGGTGACCTGGTGAGGACTCTGGGGACAGAAACTAGCTTGCAGGAAATGAGAGTTAAGGAAGTACCCAAGCACATCTCCTCCTACATTACTTCTATTTTCAACTGTCATGGCAAAGGGCAGACAGAAGACCTTTGTGACTCATTCACTTCCTGTCCTACTTGTGTTACTTTTATTTTGCCTTTTGCTTTTTTGCTTATTCTAATGCTTTGGTTTTCTTACCACTTAGTTTCCTTTTAGGGGAAAATAAATAGTAAATGTTGTTGGCTCTTTTCCCCCCTTTTAGTCTCTATAAGAAAATGGCATGGGAGATGGGCTTTGAAGAGTACCATTTGCATCTGAGGCCTGTTCACTTTGAATTTGCAACACACAAGGACAAGGTGGATCATCCACCTCCTGTCTTTATCACCTCTCTGCTGGAGAACAGTGATCGCATAGACAGGTGAGCCTTAAGAGGGTAAAGTAAAAATAATGTAATGGTAGAATGAATGACTAGTGAAAAATAATTTCTACCACCACTAGACACGCAAATGCAATTGTATTTCTAATTGTATTTATATTCTGTCTGCCATAATGCCATTTATGTTCTTTCTTCCTTTTTCTTTTTTTTTCTTTTTTCTTTTTAAAATATACTTTATTGATTTTTTACAGAGAGGAAGGGAGAGAGATAGAGAGTTAGAAACATCGATGAGAGAGAAACATCGATCAGCTGCCTCCTGCACATCCCCTACTGGGGATGTGCCCGCAACCCAGGTACATGCCCTTGACCGGACTCGAACCTGGGACCTTTCAGTCCGCAGGCCGACGCTCTATCCACTGAGCCAAACCGGTTTCGGCACTTTTTCTTAATAAGCGGGGAAAATAAGGTCTCAATCAAGGGGAATTATTTGATTTAAAAACATCAAGTAACTGAGAAATGGAAGAATCAGATCAGAGAGTTCAAATGAGATGGAATCACAGGCTCAGGCAGCTACCTGGGTTGACTATGTTGCTTCTGGGTAGAAAGGGGTGTGAGGGTTGGTCTCATGGGGCAAGAACCGTGGATCAGAAGTCCAGGTCTCTTCTCTCACTTTCCCTGGGACCAGGAAGAAGTCAGTCAAGTGTTTTTGAGCACTGTTTCCTCGAAATTCTAACACAATGTACAAATCTAACATGTATGGCAATATCTTATACAGGTTCTTCTGTTGATCAATAAAAGAAGCTGACTCAAACCAGTGAAACCTCTATTTCATGCCCATTGGCAGAAAGCAAACACTCCTACCACTAACAGATCATGAATCCATTCAGTTAGAGAAAAGGATCTTTTTCCCCTCAGAGAGTCCACCTTTGATGTATGCTGAGAAGAAATTTTTGTCTTCTTTCCTTCCCCCCTAGTCTGCCCTCCCCCTGAGGGCCCTAGTTCTATCCTTAGAGATTTCTGGTCCTGGTCCCACCCACCCAAGGAAGGCAAGGGTGACTCCAAGGAGGGAAAGTCACCTTGGTTTTGCTGATGTGGGTCCCTGCTCAAAATACAACTTGGATATGTTAGTATATTAATATGTTAAGGGACTCATCTTCCTCAGAGAGAGCATGGGTAGAATGGAGGGGTTGGGATGATAGAATACAGTGTCTCGGAATTTCTCAGTCTTGGCACTATGAAAATTTGGGGCAGAGTGACTCTTTCTTGTAGGGGGCTGTGTATCAGAGGTTGTTTAGCAGCACCCTGACCACTACCTACCAGATGCTAGTAATACCTCTTCTTCCCATTTGTGACAATCAAAAATGTCTCCAGATATTGCCAAATGTCCTCTATCCTGTCACACTAGCTAAACCAAAAAGAGAATTTATTGTTAGGATATAGAGGGATCTCATAGAAGCTGAAGGCAAGGCTTAGTCTCCAACCTAGAGCTAAGCTATTCTCTCTCTTCGAGGGCCTCCTGCTGGAGCTGATCTTTTACACTGCCGTGAAATAGGGCCTATTTTGTTCAGTCAGAATCAACCAAATAGCACAGGTGGCCCAAGTGCTCTGTGTCCTGGCCAAGCAGTGATGGTCCTCCCAGTGATGACCCAGAGATTCTGCACGATCTGGGAACCTTCTGAATTCCTAGAGAACGGTTTATGCATCCAAGGAATTTGTGTCTGGAGTTTGCGCTTGTTTTATATATGTTCATTTCTTAAAGTTGCCACTTCGGAGTTCTGCTGTGACAACAACATATATCAAACATAAGCATAGTGACTTACATTTTAAGAAGTACATTCATGCATATTATCCCACTTAATATTTGTCACAGCCATATATGAGATAAGTGATATCCCATTTACATAAAGTCATAGATAAAGAAACCAAAAGTCATAGATATTAAATTACCTAATAGAGTCTCATAGTTATGGACAAAGGCAGAAACATGGTTACAAAGAACATTAGATGACCACTAGGGCAATGGGAGAGAGTTAGAACTGGACAGCTTTTAGGGAGTGGACAAGGGGGTCTGAGTCCGTGAGGGGCCAGAGTAGATGAGGCTGTGGGGAGGAAGGCACTTCTCTCCATCTACCCTCTCAGGTTCTTTCTGCTGGTCTAATAGTCAAATCAACGTGAGGCAGATTAACAAGAGAAAATGATCCAATTTAATGATATATGTTCTATGGGAACCCCATATACATGAGAGGTTCAGAGGGGGGAAAGGAAAAATGAGGTAATAACTTTCTGAGCAAAGGAAGGAGGCAAGGCACCTTGGGGCTTCAGCAGGGAGGAAGGTCATTCTCGGGACAAGAAGATCAGATGCTCAGATGTTCAGTAATTAGACGTTTGCCCGGCCTAGATAGAAGTCATAAAAAGTTATCTCTGGTGATAAACTCCTATTATAGACAAGGCCTTTAATTTAAATTCTTTAAGGGAGAGGTAAAAGTTTCTGGAAGCCGGCAGGGTTTCAATTGCCTTTGGCTCAAGACAATCCACATGCCAAAGTGGGGAGGTCAAGAAGGCAAGAGGAAAAACAGGAGAAAAACAGTGGTATAGTGATCAAGAGAAAATAATTTCAACTGCTCCAGGGTGGATAGTCACCACAATGAAACTACAGGGAGATCAAGTCCAATAAGGACTGAAAAGACCCCAGAGCCCTTCAGTCTTCGAGTGGAAATATCAAGTCTTGCAGAACATCTGCACTTGCTGTTACTACTGATGTCCCAGAGCTGATCACAGGCCATTCAGTCCCATCAGAATGGGCATCTCTTGACTAATGGCACAGCACAATGCCTGAAACAGTGACATGTTTCTTCTTGCAGATATTCTCCTACTACTCTTGTCTTGGCCATCTCTGAGGTGGATGATAACCAAGTTGGCAAATTTAGTTTTTATACAAAGGAAGCCATCCTTAAGGTAAATTATTTTAATTTTTTTTAAAAAAAGAAACTAAAGTAAAATTAAGCAGTTTTTTCATGTATTTCTTTAAAAATCATAATGTTTAATCCATATAAGGTTGGGTCTCTTATATAAGAAAAGCTTCCAACTTCATAAGTAATGATGAAGGCCTTGCCTCATTTGATGTGCACATTGGCCTGGTTTGAACTATAGAGACTGCAACACCCTTTGCCATAACTTCTATTAGATATTAAAAAGAAGCACTTGTAGTGAGCCACCTTTGTGTCAAGCTTTTGAAAATATACGCTTGTTATTGGAGCTTTTATCTGACCTTTTTAAGTCAGATGGTGCTGTTTTTTTCCTGTCACTCGGATAGCTTCCTTTGCTTCTATGTGTGTATGTGCAGGCTTCAATTTGTGTGTGTGTTTTTTAAACATAAATCTAATCTTGGCAGTTTTGCAAGAGCCTTCCCCTATGCGTGTTTGCTCACCCATTAAAGCCTGCTCATCTTTTTCTGACATTTGGGGAAACCTGATGGTGTCCAGCTACAGAGCAAATCAAGCTTTGGGGCTGCCTTTCTGGATGAAATGCTGCTTAGGGAGATTCAGTCTTGTGACTGAGGAACAAGGATCTCAGCTCATCCTGCAGTTTGACTTTTATATATACACTAGAGGCCCGGTTCACAAAATTCGTGCACTTGGGGGGGGGTCCCTCAGCTCAGCCTGTACCCTCTTGCAGTCCAGGAGCCCTTGGGGGATGTCCGACTGACGGCTTAAGCTGACAGTCAGACATCCTTAGCACTGCCACGGAGGCAGGAGAGGCTCCCGCCACCACCGCTGTGCTCACCAGAGCCCAACTTCCTGCTGAGCAGCACTCCCGCTGTGGGAGCGCACTGACCACCAGGGGGCAGCTCCTGCATTGAATGTCTGCCCCCTGGTGGTCAGTGCACATCATAGTGACCGGTCTTTCCACTGTTCAGTCGATTTGCATATTAGTCTTTTATTGTATAGGATGTTGCATAAGTGGTGATCTCAACCCTCAACTTTAGCTTTTCCTTTTTTAAAAGAATTTATTTTTGTTGTTGAAAATATTACATATGTCCCCCCTTTTTCCCATTGACTCTCCTCCACCTAATACCACCCCCCCCAGACCCTCACCACACTATTGTCTATATTCGATGGGGTATGCATATATGCATATAAATTCTTTGGTTAATCTCTCCACACCCCTCCCCTACCCCACCTGCCCTCTGAGATTCCGCAGTCTGTTCCATGCTTTTATGTCTCTGGACCTATTTTGTTCATCAGTTTATTTTGTTCATTAGAGTCCATGTATGAGTGAGACCATGTGATATTTGTCTTTCTCTGACTGGCTTATTTACCCTTTTCGTTATGAGAGAAATTCCTAATACCTTTTGTATTTTCTTTTTGTAGCTCTTGTTCCATTCGGGAGTTGAAAACATGCAAGTGATTCTTGCATGTCAAGCTGCTCAGAAAAATGCTTTGATGGTGGCTGTCCAGCATGCGTTCTTCTATCACACTCCCCGAGGGGGCTGTCCTGCTGAGGTCCAGGTCAGCCTGTAAGATAGGGGAGCCTGAGGCATGCTACCATGACCCACCAGCTAACATCAGGCTGTTCCTTCCTTGCGTACTTCCCTCCTTGCCTTTACCTCTACCTCTCCTTCCTCCCTTCTTTCTCTTCTCCCCCTTTCTCTTCTCTTTCTCCCATTTTCCCCTCTTTCCTGTATTTTTATTTTCTTTTCTTCCTGCCTTTCTTTTATTTCTTCTTTACTAAAGTGACTCAACACATGACCAAATCTTTACTTGGTCTTTTACCTTTTATTGCTAATCATTTTTCTTTATATGTAACTCTATAATATTGACTAGCTAGAATAAAATAACCTTTTCATCCACCTCTGCCCTTTGTAGATAAAGGGCTCCATTATTTTATGTTTTATCCTTCCTGTATTTCTTTTTTTGCAAAAGCAAAAATTTTTTAGGGTAGCCAAATGAGGAATGCACAAGGCCAAAGTAGTAAGGGATTATAAATTCATTAGGTCATCTGGATACTAGATGGGCTGAGCCCCCAAATGGTGCCAGCACCCAAAGATAGGGAGTCAGAGGTTTTAAAGGACTCTAGGTGGGCTTTTTATGGGCAGAGAATTCTCTGTGCAGGTCCAGAGCCTGGGACGGTCCAGAGGGGAGAGATAATGGTCTTAGCAAGTGGAATGTGGTCTTAGCAAGTGGAATGTGGTCTAAGCGAAAGGGAATGTTCATTGTAAAGTGGCCTAAAGGGCCATTCCAGGGGAGGGGTATCGATTCAATTATTTGATCAAACCTAACAAATTTATGCCTTCTTTTTTCCACAAAAGTCAACACCCAATATATACTCTTTTTTTTAAAGATTAACACCATCTTTTTAAAAAAATATATTTTATTGATTTTTTACAGAGAGAAAGGGAGAGGGATAGAGAGTTAGAAACATTGATGAGAGAGAAACATCGATCAGCTGCCTCCTGCACACCTCCCACTGGGGATGTGCCCGCAACCAAGGTACATGCCCTTGACCAGAATCGAACCTGGGACCCTTCAGTCCGCAGGCCGACGCTCTATCCACTGAGCCAAACCGGTTAGGGCTATACTCTTTCTTTTTCTGGCTTTTTTTGGTTGTTATTGAGATACTAGTGGCCGGTGCACAGATTCGTGCACATTGAAAGGAAATTAATTAGAAGAAATATTTTAATATCACCATTTGCCCTTTATAATAGAAGTGTCAATCAAATTCATGATCGACAATGACAGATCGAAACACGTATGTGTGATTGGTGCCAGCAAGAGCTTTATATGTATTGCACACACGCAATTCAACATTTATTTTTAAATGGCCAGTGTGCGTCCTATGTACCAGCCAGTCAGTTGGTCGGACGGATGGACAGTCATTCACTTGGCCTTTTATATATATAGATAATTTACATTACATTAAATTTATCCCTTTACCATATATAATTCACAAGATCATGCAACCATCACCACAATTTAATTCCAGAAAGTTTTCATCACTCTCAAAAGAAATTCTGTACCAATTAGCAGTCACTCCCATTCCCCTCTCTCCTCAGCCCCTAGCAACCTGGACTCGGCTTTGTGTCTCTATAGCTTTGCCTATTCTGAAAATTTTATATAAGTGGAGTCATAAAACATACCACTTCATGTCAGATTTCTTTTTACTTAGCATTATGTTTTCAAGCTTCATCCATGTTTGAACATGTATCAGTACTTCATTCCCTTTTACTGATGGAAGATATCCTATAGCTATACCGCATTTTGTTTCTCCATTTATCAGTTGACAGGCATTGGGTTGTTTTTACTTTGGGGCTATTATGAATAATAATATGAACATGTTATTGTCTCACTTCTTTCTTTTAGCTATGCTAGTGGGAGTAAATGGTATCTCATCATGGTTTTCATTAGCATTTCTCTAATTACTAATGATTAGAGGATCTTTCCATGTGCTTATTGGCCATTTGTATGTCTTTGTTAGAGAAATGTCTATTCAAATGCTTTGCCCTTTTACAAATTTGGATTTTTGGGTCTTTTCATTATTGTAAGAATTCTTTATTTAATCTGAATACAAGCCCCTTATCAAGTATAATATTTGCAAATATTTTCTCCCATTCTGAGAGCCATCTTCTCACTTTTGTGATGGTGCCCTTGCAAACAAATTTTTCATTTTGATAAATCCAATTTACCTATTCTTTCTTTTGTTATTTGTTCATTTGAGCTCATCAGGTAATACTAAGGTATAATTCATGCTCCGGAGGAACTTACAGGCCAGTGAGCTTTTTGATAGGCAGAGATGACCGTGTGATTATTCTGAGTAGAGAGGAGTCCCTTCAGATACCCAGTCATGGAAGCAAGAAAGGGTCAGTGGGGACTAGGAAAAAATGAGCTGGTTTGACCACCACTTGTGGTTTTCATACAAAGTTAACATATAGATTCCTTAATTAATTAATTTAATCTTATGAGGAATACCAATAATTAAACAGGTATAAGTGGGGTTGTTATGATTGCCAGGGAGATTGAGAGGCTTATGAGTTATTTCCTGAGATCCACCCAGGGAGCAAATGTTGAAAGTCACTAGATAGGAGCACAGGGCAGGCGAGGGAAGGCATGAAGAGTAATAGCCTGGAAAGACCTACAGCACTGGGAGGGGTAAGGAGGCATTAGGGTAAAATATACATGAATATATGTGTTTGTGTATTTATATGCTTTCCTATGAATGTGGGACAGGAAGAGGGCTAATGAGATAATAAGGAGGAATAAATGATGAAGACAGTGAAAGGGAGCAAGAGGAAGGGAGGAAAGGGAGGAAAAAAAGGAAAGAGACAGAGACAGAATAAAATTGTGCATTGCTACCAAAGCCGAAGGAGAGAAATGTTTCAAGAAGAAATGAGTCATCTAAAAAGATGTGCAGATGACAAATAAGCACATAAAAAAGGAGTTCAAAGCCATTAGTTATTAGATAAATGTAAAATGCCAGTGAGAAATAACTGCGCACCCATTTGAATGGTTAACTTTTACTTGGCTGATCATTCCAAGTGTTAGCAAGGATGAGAAGGATCTGGAACTCCCATACACTGCTCATGGGAATGCAAAATGGTCAATCATCTTGGAAAATAGTTTTGACACTTTCTTAAAAAATTGAACATACGCTTACCAGATGATCCGGCCACTCTACTCCTATATATTTACTCAAGAGAAAGCACATGTCCATATAAAGACATACACAAATGTTTACAGCAGCTTTATTTTAAAATAGCCAAGAACTGGCAAGAACCCAAATACCCATCACCAGATGAACGGATAAACAAATTGTGGTATATTCATACAATGGAATACTACTCAGCAGTACAAAGACATGATCTATTGATATACACAACAATATGGATGAAGCCAGACAAAAAAGAGTACATACTGCATGACTCCCTTTATATAAATTTCTAGAAAATGCATTCTGATCTATAGTTGCAGAAAGCAGAGCAACGGTTACTTGAGGAAGGGGGGTGGGTGGGAGGGATGGCGATGGTCATTATTTTTCTGTGGTGATGGTTTCAGTTGCACACATATACTAAAACTTCTCTAATTAAACACTTCATATATGTGCTGTTAATTGAATGTCAATTGTACCTCGATAAAGCTATTATTTTTTTAAAAAGCTATTATTTTTAAAATATATTTTTAATGATTTCAGAGGGAGAGAAAGATAGAAATATCAAGGATGAGAGAGAATCATTGATCAGCTGCCTCCTGCACACCCCACACTGGGGATCAAGTCCACAACCCGGGCATGTGCCCTGACCAGGAATCATTCATAGGTTGACACTCAACCACTGAGCCACACAAACCAGGCAAAGCTATTATTTTTTAAAAAGAAGAAGAAAGAAGAAAAAGTTGAAAATTGATAGAGTTAAGTCTAGAGGGAAGAACCAGAGAGTAAGGATTAAAATGAGACCCTTTGACATTCTCCAAGGCTCACTGCTGACTGACAGAGCAGCTCTGATGGAGTTGGAGTGAAGGCATACTGCCAGTGTTAAGGAGTGACAAGGTGACAAAAATACAAAAGCGGTGTATATTTACTGCTCCAGTATTAGTCAGCTCAGGTTGCCAAAACAAAATACCATGGACTAGCTTAAACAACAGAAATTTATTTTCTCATAATTCTGGAGGCCAGAAATCCAAGATCCAGGTGCCTGCATGGTCAGCTTCTGGTGAGGGCTCTCTTCCTTGCTTGAAGATGGCTGAACTCTCACTGTGGCCTCACGTGGCAGTGAAAGAGAGAGAACTCTGTGTCTTTCTCTTCTTGTAAGGGCACCAGCCCTATCAGATTGGAGCCCCACCATTATGACCTTACCTAACCCTAATTACCTTCCAATACTATCTTCAAATGTTTTCAAATACCATCTTATTGGGGGAAGGGGCTTCAACATAAGAAATTAGGGGGCGATAGAAACATTTAGTCCATAGTAGTTCTTTAAGAAGTTTGGTCAGAATTGCGGAGGAAGTTTGAGGGGGCAAGATAATTAAGAATAAAATAGATATAAATATATTTGTAGGAAGGAGCTGGAAAAGAGGAAGCAATTGAGGACAGAAATGAAAGATGGGCTGGTGGGTGTGACTCGGTGGTTGAGCTTCGACCTATGAACCAGGAGGTCACAGTTTGATTCCTGGTCAGGGCACATGCCCAAGTTGCAGGCTCGATCCCCAGTGTGGGGTGCGCAAGAGGCAGCCAATCAATGATTCTCTCTCATCATTGATGTTTCTGTCTCTCTCTCCCTCTCCCTTCCTCTCTGAAATCAATAAAAATATTTTATATATAAAAAAGAAAGAAATGAAAGATGGCATGCTGGGCTGTTGAAGGTAGGTGAGTGAGTCAGAGAGTTAACAGTTCAATTCAGAAGCTTCTGTGGTCCAGGCAAGGCAGTGAGCTAAGTGATGAATAGACATGGGCTCGTGGAATCCTCTCAACAGCCCCATGCGATGGGGAATATCATCCCCTTTTTCTGAAAGATTAAGGACAGAACCAAGATCACAAGCGTGTCAGCACTGCGACCTGATTGCAGAGCTTGTGTTTTCTTCCCTCTTAGCTCACTCACAGCCTTTCTTAGACCTCTTAAGTCTTCTGAACTGGATATTCTACCACTTCCAAGAGACCCGGCTAACACAAGGGCCTTCACAAAAAGTCAGGATGGAAACACTAAGTTTTTACCCAGGATTTTTTCCTTTCGCCTCATTCTTCTTTAGTAGTTCAGATAAAACGAACTCCTTATTTCTTTCTTTGAAAAAGTAGTCTTTCCTTTGAAGACAAATTTTTTTTTTAGTTAGTATTTTAGGAAAAATGTAAAAGAATTCCATTCATTGTGCCTGAGAGCTCCAATAACCAATAGGAGTATTGAAAAATATGGATTTCCCTTTTTTTTCTCCAACTTCCTTTTCCTCGCCCCGCCCTCCCTCCGCCTCTCCCTCCTTCATCATTGCATGGTGCATGGCAGCATATACAGCCCACCTCCATCTGCTTAGACTCTACCAGAATGGGCACCCGAAACAAGTTCTCAGATCTCACAGCCATGAAGCCCATCAGCAGTATTTCTTGAGAGGCCCCTCTGATCCAGCACTCCACTAGCCACCTGTGGAATGGAGAATTTTTGTCAGAGCACTTTAGATAATTGCATTCTATTCTGGAAATAGTTACTCTTAGTGCCTCACCCCTTTATTGTGCAAAATAGTAGCTCCCTTCCCTTCCCTTCCCTCCCTTACTCTCTGTACTTTCCTCCCCTCCCCCTTTTCTCTATCCCCACCCCTTCCCCAGATATCCAGTCATTTACATGCATTTGTGGTCAGTTGTGGCTGTGAGATAATTTTATAGCCAGTACCACAGGACATATAAATCCAACAATTTGGATTCACTTTGGTTTGAAATATTTTAGGAAATACGTTCAGATCTGAGAAATGATGGTGGAATGGGTCCAACCAGAAGAAATTCCAGAATTGTAAATGGCATAGAGAGATTGCTGTTGGCCCCAACTCCAAAACTTCCAGACACCTTTATTCTTCCTTTAGAAAGATCCAAGGCTATCAAAAGGTACTGTATCAGAGGGAAGCAGGATTAACATAAATGTGTCCTCTTTTAAGTCAGTTAAGAACAGTGTTATGAGACTGAAGAATGACTAAACTCCCAGAGTGACCAGCATGTGTCTGATTTTGAACCTTGTATGAACAGTGAGAAGGCTCATTCCTTCTGATATACTCCAGTCTATGAAGGAGAGTTAACAGTTCCTAATTACAACCTCTTTTCTCTTCTCTTCTTCCCTCTCCTCCCTTCTCTTTTTTTTCTCCCTCTCCTTCCTCCCTTTTTCTATATTTTTCAAACTTTAAAAAGAGTAGAACACAAGAACAAAGAATATTGGCCTCTCCAAATTCTCCATGTCTCTTAGTGAGAAGTACAGACCTATCCTTACTATTCTAGCAAGAGTTTTGTCTTTGCTTAGAATAATAGAATGGTGTATTGTCAAAGAGACACAGTCTCTAAAAAGATATGTCTATGAGGCAGGGATGCCCTGTTATGTCTTGATTTCTTCTCACCATGACAGAGAGAGATATTTGTATTCTGCAATAATTATAAATACTCAGTATTTCATTGGGGAATACCAATGATATTCTAGTTTAATTCTGGTAAATTTAAAATGGGGGGGGGGGGGACAACAACAGGCAAAGCTACTCTACTTCTCAAGATGCCATTAATCTGACATATGGCCAGAGTTCAGGTGCCATAAATCCACACTCCCAATGTGTGGATGGAAGATTTATGATCAATGTGTCTGGTCCAGCAGACCCTTGGGAGGCCCTTTCAGTCCAGGTGCCCCTACACATGAGGCCTGGAGGACACAAAGGGACCTGGATGTACAAACACTGGGCCAGGCTGTGAAGTTCGGGACTGCCAATGCGTGCCTCAGGCATATGAGTCCCGAGGAGGAGAGGACACATCCGCACAGGAAGCAGCCGGGGACTATGAAGACAGAGCCACCAGCTCCCCTGCTGCAGTGCCCAATGTGCAGCCTCAGGTGTTCCTGTCCTTCAGAGAGTTCTCGAGTTGTCTCCTTGCTATACATACGTCCACTGGCCTTGGGCTCAGATGTCTCTGTTCACTTGTCAGGGCTCCGGAGGCTTTTGTGTCTATTCAGTTAGAAAAGGTGGGACTGCGGGACATGATGCTGAATGCCTTCCTCCTCAGGAAACAAACCATGGCTGACTCAATGAACCTCGTGAGTATAGTAAGAAGGGCTCCCTAAAGCTCTCATGTCATCTTTTACATTTCAGCAAATAAAAATTCTTAACTTAGAGCCTGTTGCATTCAGCCTATTTGGATAGGACCATTGAAAACATATTATAAAGAACTGAAAAAGGGAGCTCAATAAGAAATACAAAGGAAGCCATCCAAGCCAACTGCAGTCTAGTTTTTAAAATATGTGCATTTTCCCAAGGTCACATTTCATTCTGTCACTTTCTAAATGAAACTAGTTTCAGCACCCGCTCTGGAACATTTGCCCGTTCCTGAGAGACCCGCCGGTGCTTAGGGTGTTTAGACAAGGTGAACAAAGACTCTTGCCATCTAATTCACCTCTTATCATGTTTTTTCAGGCACGGTCACCTTGTTCCTATTAAAGGGTTTTATACTGGCCCAATCTCTCGAAAACTTATGTATAAAGCTCAAGTCTTTAAACAGTTAAAAGTATTGCTTAAGTTTGTGAATATCATTTCATTATTTATTAATTTTTTGATGAGGAAATCATTAGGTTAATGCAGCGATGTTTGGGAAAGAAATGGCAATCTTTCTAATAGGATCATGGCTCAAATAAAACACATTTACAATCTCTAGGCTTTTCCCCTACCTGTGACTGAAAACGAAAGACCTAAATTTACCTAATCCAATTGGGATGTGAGGGAGGCCAGATTTCAAGTTTACTACTGAACAATCATGGAGAGAAAGGACTCCTTTTAATAAGTCACTGGGATATTAAATTAGTTTTTTACTATAATATTAAAAAAATATTGACCAAGTGGAAAATGTAATAACTCATTAACTGCTCATAGGATTATTCAATGCTGATCAGATTAGAAAGGGCTCAGGCAATAAATTGTCAGTTTTGCCAAAGTCTGGGATTTTAGCCTATTTACAAGCTGGTACGTTAACCTGTGACTATTTTGTGGAGGCTGGCAGAAGACACAAGACTCCTAGTTAAGAGACAAAATAACTTTATTACTCATAGCAGAGCAGGCAACATGGGCTTTGTGTCTGTGTCAGTTCCCTTGGCTCCCCAAGGGCCACGGGAGCAACATGGGAGCCCGGATGCATGCAGTGGTGTTTGTCACAGTTGAGTAATACTGAGTTTGGAGGAACCCACCTCTTTTATAGCAAGTCTGCTCTTTTTCCTGGAGGGAGGCATTACCTCATCCCTTAAGACTTCTTTCTGCAAACATAACCCTTAGAAATGGCCCCCATACAGAGTGGTCAGGGCCTTGCCTTCTTCGCTCACTCAGCAAAATGTAGGGGAGTGGGAGACACCCCTGGAGGAGTGTTTCCCAATAAGTTGACCTTCAGGAAGAGTTTCTCAACAGTGTGGCCTTTTTCTGCTTTAAGTTTGCTCTCAGTTTCTACATAGATACTTGCTTGGAGAGTGTTTATAACCAACTGTCTAATAGAAGAACTATCATCTTCTTTTATTACAGGATGAAATTGAGAAAACCAAGAGAGAAGTAATAGTGGAATATTGTCAGAAGTAAGTATAGCATATGTAGTACATGTGAACAGCACAGGCTAAGTTCTCTGACTCTGAATTCAATAAACACCAGAATTATGTAGAAATTCTCCAAGGTATGAGGTGGTCTGTTTTATTTGAGCCACGATCCTATTAGATAAAACCAAATCAAGCTGACCTCTGACACACGGAAGAAGGAGCATGAGAAGTGAAGGACAGGAGATGCTTCGAAAGGGCCCATGCCTTTGCCTTCCTGCAGTAGCAATCTGACCCAGACAGAGATTTCTTCATGACAGAGGTGCTCTATTCTCTTTGAAAGATAGTCTAGGAAAGTAGATCCTGGAACTTCTGTAGAGAGGACTCACCTCTGGACATCTCTTCTGACTTTTCAGATTTAACCACCGCATGTCTCACTATGCTCTTCGGGGTCAGATCATGGCCTACTGCAATAGTCTGAGGGCCCTGCTGGAAGATTTCCCTACCGTCAGGGACACCGTTTTCATGGTGGGGCAACCGCAAGAGAAGAAGGGGTTGAGGGATTCCAAGAAGGGCTGCAAGGATGACCTCAGGTGCGTAACTTCCGTTAGAGCTTGCTCTCCCTCTCTACCCTACCCCTCACAGGGAAGAAGCATGTGAAGTTCAGCATGGAAATCTTGCTCCCATTATTGCATTTGACCTTGATTTTCCAGCCCAGAAAGGCAAAAGAAAGAATTAACACTTTAAAAATGAGTACCTGTGAGGGTGGGAAGGGGGGGTAGAGGTGGAAGAGGGCATAGAGGGGATAAAATGGCGATGGAAAAATTTTAATTTAATTTTAAAAAATAAAATAAAAAAGAATAAGAGTATCTTTGTATTTGAACCCAGAGGAGTTCTTTGTTTATGGGCTATTTGACTGCTTTTTCAATGTATACAGTTTTATTTTCCCCTGGAGAGCCCTAAGATTTTCATCAATCACACCATTTTACACAACTCAGCCTCTAAAATAAGAAAGCAAATAAGTAGACTTGATCTTGAGCTGTCCTGGCTTCAAATATTTTACTCAATGGGGTAGAAGAGATATTCAGAGAAAAATGGTATACCAATGCCTTGGATAAATCAGTGCTTTTCTGTATTTCTCTGACAGAGAAAAAAAATATATGTAGTAATATTAAGTGATAATACTTTCTTATCATGCTTTATCCAGTTTTCCAAATGTTCTTACCTTAGCCTACTAGAGCTCACTCACCTGGATGAGGAGTTAGCATACCTGTGCAGTCAGTGACTACATTTCCTTTAAAAAAAGAAGGAGGTGTTTTACAGTTATGCAGTCTCCAAGGGGGAGAAAAACATCCTGTAGGATGAGCTTGCCTCCCTCCTTTCTCTTTCCTTACTGCACGGTGCTGAGTATCAGTAATAACTACGATCATAGAACAGATAGATGAGAGGGATTGAAAGACCATTTGTATCAGACCACTCTTTCACTCACTTATTCATTCATGCATCATTCAAACACTATTCAGTGCTGACTTAGTACCAGGCACTTCACTATGTACTGGAGTTACAAAGGTGACTAAACCATGGACTCTGGTGATAAATTCAGCCTAGTGGGGGAAAGTTCTACAAACAAAAGAGTAGCTTCAAAGATTTCAAAGATAACATGTTAGAGTTATGTAAAAAGTTCTGTGATGGCATCAAAGGAGTTTAACTCCACCCCAGGGCCTCAGGGAGAAATTCAAAAGGAGGAGGTAACAGGTAAGTTGGAGTTCATCAAGAAAATGGAGATAACAGAACAGGCTAGAGAATGCTAGAGAATGAAAGAAGTTGAGTTCTTAAGCCCTTGATAACTGGTTATCAAAATAGTAGCCACTCCTATGTTGATACTGACAAGGTGCCCAATTTGTGATACCAGTGTTTTGTCTCAAGAGCTCAGCCAGTGCATTCACTTGGGTAGACTTCAGGATTTACGTAATGACAGATGCATTTGAGAAAGAAGTAGGGCAAAGATACCTCAGTAGACCAACTATTTGGTAAAGGGTTTGACCTGTTGCCCAATGAGGCTAAAGTGCATCTTTCTGTCATATAAAACATCACAGGATAATCTTCTAAGGCTTATCAGTTCCATTCTCTCATCCATCCACTAGACAAGACAACCATTTATAAGAACAATCTAAAAATTGGGATCAAATTTTAAAAATAGTTCCCAGAAGTCTAACCATGAGTTCACTACATTTGTGTTTAGGATAAAAGGTATTCAGCAAGGCTGTTTTTGTTTCTGATCTGTTTTATTTGTAGCAGCCAAATAAAAAGGTTAGAAAGAAGAGATGGAGGAAAAATATCTCTCTAGCTTGTAAGTCTTGCTCTATTCCTTTATTATTTCTTGTGGATGACTGTGTGTCTCCTAAAGCATAAAGGAAGCAGTCCCTTGTGAGGGAGAGCCTGGGGCCCTAAATCAACTAGTCAGTTAATGTGTGATACTTCCAGGGCAAGGGTTTGGTCCACAAAGTGAGAGCAACTCATTCAGTCAGGTAGTGGATGAGCAGCAACTGGTAGAGATTCCATATTGCTCCACCAAACCCATCTCCTGCCTCCTAAACTCTCTAGATTTTAATACACTCACATAAAAATGAATTACAGAGAAAAGAACTTCTCTCTTCTGAGGAAGTTTGGAAAAGATACTGTATAAGATTCTTTCTAACTTCAAAGTCTATGACTCATTCCATGAAGTAAGTATTAATAAAAACTGACCACCAGCCACAAAGAGGTATAATGGAGAGAGCTATAGCCTAATAGTTGGAATATTTGGACTTGACCCAGCTCGGTCTTAAGTTGCCCTGAGATCTCAGACAGGTCACTTCTCTTCAATCTCTAGATCTCAATTCTTCACCTAATGAGTGAGGAAACTGAAGCAGCTCTCTGAAGTGAAATACATTATGGTTCTTAGTGCTAAGGTGTCTAGAGCTTGATTCTAAGGAACGGGACTGCTGAGGAAAGACTCCCAGGAAAGGAGCCAGTCAAAAGTGTTTATAAGCCGAAACCGGTTTGGCTCAGTGGATAGAGCATCGACCTGCGGACTGAAGGGTCCCGGGTTCAATTCTGGTCAAGGGCAGGTACCTGGGTTGCAGGCACATCCCCAGTAGGAGATGTGCAGGAGGCGGCTGATCGATGTTTCTAACTCTTTATCTCTCTTCCTTCCTCTCTGTAAAAAATCAATGAAATATATTTTTTTTAAAAAAGTGTTTATAAAATGGTAAGTGAGAACCATCTCAGGCCAAGTTTAACTAGAGATGAAGGGACAGAGTTAAGGAATGAGGGTCATGGAGGATAGGGGTTCTCACTTCATTCATAAAATAAGGAGTTGGGTTTGATTGAAGATAAGACATGTTTTGCTTTAAGTGCCAATTCCAATAATTAGTGCCCTTCTGTGTAGGACTCTGGGACATCCACATGTGACAGTGTAGTTGATTGGCAACGTCTGTCAGTCAGGGAAAGGGAGGAAAGTGGGCTCCTGCTTGTGTTTGCTATCCCTCACAAGAAGAGCCCCATGAGTTGTATAGGCTTTACATTCTTAGGTGCTACTTAATTCATAAGAGACTGTAATGCCTGTAATGTACTGTGTTTAGTTTTAGCAAAGAACTCCACCCTCACCCCAGAACCAAACCAGAATCTCTACAGAAGAGGAGCCAAGGGGAGCTCTCCTCCCAGGAAGGATGCCCCTTGAGGCCTCCATGTCCTCATGGCACCAGAGGAGTCTAGAGTCTGAAGACTAGGATGACACTCAATCACACTCCCAAGAGCAGTGGCATTAGCTGATGGAGGAGCAAAGAAGGCACAGAGAGAAAGGACAGTAACATTAGGACAGAACCCTTACTAAGTGACAGGCAGAGCCACTGCTATCCTATACAGCTGCTTTATGTGCCTTAGAATAAGGCACCACTTCCTCTGGGCAGGTTGCCCCATGTCCGGGTGCAGAGCTTGGCAAATAAAGGCCGGATCTCAGCCACTGCTGGTTGCCTCAGGGCACAACCTGAACAACAGTAGTATATGGCAGCCTTGTTGCCAAGCACTGTACAGCAATGGGTTCAACATGGTCCTTGCCCTTCATTCAAGGGGAAATAGGCAGAAACATTATGATAAGGAATAAAATAAAAGGATAATGAAAGCAACCACCAGGAAATGTTCAGTATTATCCGAAGGATTGGGAAAGTGGGCATGGGGAGCAAGGCAGGTTTCAGGAAAGAGAGGATGCTTAACCTGGGTCTTAAAGGATGATCAGTGTTTCAGGTGGACAAGGAAAAGAACATTAGCTCAAGCTGGGAGGCCCCCAAATATAAAGGTACAGAGATGTGAGACAGCATGTGGACTTGTGAGTGGCCCCTATCCAGGGTATGTGAGGATGCGATCAGAAATAGAATTCACAAACTGAGAGGCAAGATCCAGAAGTCTGGCATTTGTCCTTCCACAAACAGAGAGAAAGATGAACAAGACGATTGTCAGGGACATCATTTAGGATGCTATTGAAACTGCACAGATGAGAGATGTGTAGGAGGTGAAATCAGCTAGGCCAGGTGCTGGATTTAATATGGGGCTAAGGGAAAAAGAGGAGTCTAGAATGTCACCCAGAGTCCCTGGCTTGGGTGACTAAAAAGATGGCAGTTCCATTATTATTTAACTAGAGGCCTGGTGCACGGATTCGTGTACTAGTGGGGTCCCTCAGCCTGGCCTGCGCCCTCTCACAATCCAGGACCCCTGAGGGGATATAGCAGTGCATGAAGCAGCAGATGGTGGGGAGGAGCTTGAGCCCAGGCCAGGCACCACGCCACTCTTGCTCATCCTGGCCCCACTGCGCCTCCCACTGCCGCTGTTGGGTAGTGCTGCCACGGAGGCAGGAGAGGCTCCCGCCTCCACAGTTGCACTAACCAGCTGTGAGCCCAGCTTCTGGCTAAGCAGCACTCCCACTGTGGGAGCGCACTGACCACCAGGGGGCAGCTCCTGTGTTCAACATCTGTCCCCTGGTGGTCAGTGCGTGTCATAGCAACCGGTTGAGCGGTCGACCAGTGGTAATGGTCACTTAGGCTTTTATATATATAAATGGGCACAGAGTTTTCATTGTGGAAGATGGAAAAAACGTTCTGGATGGTGGTGATGGTTGCACAACAATGCAAATGTATTTAATGCCACTGAACTATACAATTAAAAATGGTTAAAATGGTAAATTTTATGTTATTATATTTTACCACAGTTTTTTAAATGGGGGGAAAAGGGATGTCAGTGCCATTAAGAGGAAGCAATATGAAGAGGGAGATAATGAATCACAGCTCAGAAGCTTCAGCTATGAATTTCTTTCATTAGTCTCCCAACAAATCTGAGGCTTCTTATTCTGGATTTTTCTGTGTTTTCATACCCATCCATTCCACCTTGCTTCTGTCACTGAGTAATGTTTGTATGTCTAGCTGCTCTGGAATGTAAGCCTCTTGAAGGCAGAGACTGTCTTCGAGGATGGGAAGGGGGGAGTAGGCCCACAGGAAGTGCAGGGAGTTCCGACCAGTGGCTTTTAATTGAATTATGAAATAACAGAATATGTCTCATCTGCTGGCAGGAATTTGGTTTGAGGCTTAAAGTTTACTTGGGCCCAGTAGGTGAGGCTCAGTGGTTGAGCGTCGACCTGTGAACTAGGAGGTCATGGTTAGATTCCCAGTCAGTGCACATGCTTAGGTTGCAGGCTCAGTCCCCAGTAGGGGTCGTGCAGAAGGCAGCTGATCAATGATTCTCTCTCATCCTTGATGTTTCTATCTCTGTTTTCCTATCCCCTCCTCTGTGAAATTTAAAAAAAAAAAAAAAGATGGGGGAGGAAAAGAAAAGACTTGGAATTATTGAAAAAGGAAACGGGCCTGAAAACTGATCACGGGAAAGAGAAAGGATTGTCCCAGGGTGACACCGCTCAGGCTCCATGGAAACCATTTAAATACTTGTTGTGGCATCAACATAATTAGTGGTGTGGTTTCTTCCAGCTGTGTGTGACTAGAAGCAGAAAGCAGAGGAGCTGGAGGGATCCAGAGTTGGGGTTTGCTGGATAGGTGGGTAGTGAGGGCAAAGAAGCAAAGACCTGAAGGTGTGGTTCATGTGCTTGCTTGGGACCCAGTCTGGGGAGGGAGGGAGTGGGGTCAGAATGGACTTGACAGATGGAAGGGGAGACCGAGGGCTGAGTGATGATCAGGAGCATATTTTGGAGGGATGAAGGTTTAGTGGGAGTGAACGAGTGAGAAAACTGGAAGAATAGAAGGCAGAGCTGGGAAAGTAGGGTATTTGAGTTTAGGATTTTGGAGGTGATATAGCCCCAGGTAATAATGAGCTCTGCAGTGATGCCCCAGAGCAGGTGGCTGAAGGGAAATGAAATGAAGGAGGAGGATGCTGAGCAGGTCACGGAACTGTCAGGCCCAGGACCTGATGGGGGAGCCCTCCTGTGGGGCTGAGAATTGGGCTACAGTCTTGCACTGAGCACCCAAACCTTTCTGCTGCCCCCGCTGCCCCTCCTCAGCAATGACTGCTCCCTGCAGGCAGGGGTGGAAATGGCAGGAAAAAAACGGATAAGGAGTAAAGGACACCATTTGGTAGAGGGCCCTGTGGCTCCAGGGACACATGTGCTTCTCAGAGGCCAAGGACTGATTCAGTCACACTGCTGCCAGCCCCGTGGCCTACAGCCACATGTGCTCAGACACAGGCCTTGTGACTTTTTATTGTTGATATTCAGGGCTTCTTTGGGACACTATTAAACATCGTGAACTGAATAACAGAGATAAGACTGGAATAAGCTAGCTTTGATGTGCTACACAGAACAGAATAGTCTGACGTGGCTGCTGGAATAAAGAAATTCTCCAAACTAACTCCACACTTTGTTCCTGAGCTTCACATTATCTGATGAAAACCCTGAGACTTGAAATGCAGGTTTAAGGCCAGTGATTCACTCTATTCACAGTAGAGTTTTCATGATTTAAAAGGTCTCATTTTCAGAATGTTTGATATTGAAAACATTCAGTCCTCAGGTCAAATGAACCACATTTTCCTTTGGTAAGTGGAAAGGGTCATCTTATTCTCCCCTAGAGACCCCAAAATAATAGCAACAGTCAAGAAATGCCCCTGTAACTGCCAAAGTGCCCCCAAGAGGGTAAGACCCTTCCATCCAAAGCCCTTGCATAGGCAGAGGAAGTGGGTACAAATGTGAGAGTGATGGAATCAGTAGGACCTGAGGAGTAAAGAAGAGAGGGTCTCAAAATGACTCCCTGACGTCCAGTTTTGGGGACTGAAGGATTGTGGTTCTTTGAACACAGTAAGAGGCACAGGATGGGGATGGAAGGGAGTGGGGAGTCCAGTTGTTCCCTTTCTTGATTGAGTTGGTCTAAGGCACCAACCAAGATGGAGCAAGTTGGACCCCAGGAGGGGACCAGGCCTGCAAATGCGAGTTCAGGAGTCACTGGCGAATAGATGGTGGTTGCAGCCAGAAGACTGAATGAAATCACCGGGGAGAGTGGGAAGAGCAGAGCAGAGGGCTGAGTGGGCCCAAGGAAGACCTGGCAAGGCCCGTGTGGGCTGGGGGCTCCTCCTTCTGCTGTCTGCCTGTCAGAACTGCCGGCTCAGCGTAACCAAGACAGCCCCAAGCTGGCACTAGCCTTACCCCTTACCCCACAACCCTCACTTCTAGGACATCCTCTCTCAACATGTTCAGGCCCTCACTTCTTAACAAATTACTCTGAGATCCCTCATGACATAAAATATTTTTCAAATGCTTGACGCTCTTCTGAAAAAATCATTCCTTACGCCAGTCCTGTGAGTTAGGAATCTTTATTCCTAATTTATGGATGAAAAGACTCAGAAGATAATCTGTCTAAAGTCACACAGCTGAGGGTGGTAGATGTTGGTCTCAAGCTCAGGTCCTCTGATGCCAGGTTGCACATCTGATAACTGCGCAGAGCACCATTTTCCACACTAGAGGAACACAGTCAATTAGACCTGAAGGCTCCATTTCAGGGGAAACAGTCCCCACCCTCACCCTCTGTTACAGTGGGCTGCCTCACTCCTGAGATGATGGAGAAACTGTGGGTCAGGATGCCACTTCCCGCTAAGTGTAGTAGAAAGATCATAAGCTTCTATTTGTGTGAAGGTCAAAAACAGGAAAAAGCCAACACAGTCTTTTAATGGTGTATTCATTGGTGGTAAAACTACAAAGAAAATCTAGCATTGATGAGTGTAAAATTCAGGGTGGTCGTTCCTCTGGGGGCCACCAGGGAGGTGCAGATCAAGCTTCAACAAAACTGGTGGCATTGTCCCTGGCCGGTTTGGCTCAGTGGATAGAGCGTCGCCCTGGGGACTGGGGGGTCCCAGGTTCAATTCCGGTCAAGGGCATGTGCCTTGGTTGCGGGCACATCCCCAGTGGGAGGTGTGCAGGAGGCAGCTGATCGATCTTTCTCTCTCATTGATGTTTCTAGCTCTATCCCTCTCCCTTCCTCTCTGTAAAAAATCAATAAAATATATTAAAAAAGAAAAGTTTTAAATATATATATATTTTATTGATTTTTTACAGAGAGAAAGGGAGAGGAATAGAGAGTTAGAAATATCGATGAGAGAGAAACATCAATCAGCTGCCTCCTGCAAACCTCCCACTGGGGATGTGCCCGCAACCAAGGTACATGCCCTTGACTGGAATCGAACCTGGGACCTTTCAGTCTGCAGGCCGACACTCTATCCACTGAGCCAAACCAGTCATGGCTAAAAAAGAAAAGTTTTTTAAAAAAACACAAAAAAACCTGGTGGCATTGTCATTCTCAGACGGTGGGTACCTGGGCTTGTGCAAGTCCTTAGCAGACATATATGGATTGTGTGTTTGTATGTGAACCAAGAGACAGCTATACTGCTGCCTAAGAAAGGAGGAGGTGTTTAGAAGTGGAGAAGAGCAGAGAGGAGAAAGAAGACAAAGAGGGCCGGAGTGAGGATCCCTGCAAGGAGACATGGCGGGGAGAGCAGGAAAACGGGGACCGCTCTCTAGAGCCTGGGTGCTGGAACGGGGTGGGTCTGCACTTAAATCCCAACTCTACCTCCTAGGACCTCAGTCGGCAAGATCTAGGTCACCTCATAGGGCCTCAATTTTCTCATCTATGAAACGGGAACGAAGTAGGTACATCCAAACGTTGGCATAAAAGTTAAGTGAGAAGATATGTGTGGGGGAAGAAGAAATTTTACTCTACTGTTTTCGGTTCTCTCAGCTGGTGCAATAATCAAATTGAGTTGAGACAGATTAATAAGAGAAAATAACCCAAATTTAATTATACGCATATGTATAGGGACCCCACCTACATGAGAGAGTCAAAGACCCCGTATTCACAAGAGGTTAAGAGACAGAAAAGGCCCTAACCGGTTTGGCTCAGTGGATAGAGCGTCGGCCTGTGGACTGAAGGGTCCCAAGTTCCATTCCGGTCAAGAACATGTACCTTGGTTGCGGGCACATCCCCAGTAGGGAGTGTGCAGGAGGCAGCTGATTGATGTTTCTCTCTCATCGACGTTTCAAACTCTATCCCTCTCCCTTCCTCTCTGTGAAAAATCAATAAAATATATTTTTTAAAAAAGAGAGAGAGACAGACAGAAAGGTAAACAAGGCATTCGGAGCCAAGGCGAATGAGATAAGGCGCCCGGGGCTTCAGAGGGGAGGAAGGCCAGTGGCAGGATGATAAGAAGAGCAGATGTGCAGTAATTAGAAGTTTGCCCTGCCCTCTAGGTAGTCATACAAGTTATCTCTAGCGATAACTCTCATGATGGACAAGGCCTCCAATTTATGTTCCTGAAGGGAAAGGTAAAAGTTTCTCTTGAGTCCACAGGGTCTCAAATGCCTTCAGCTCAAAACAATCCACATGCCAAAGTGGCATGTCTCAGGGAGCCTGTTCTGAACCCACTCATATGTAACACTCCGCATGGTGCCAGCCACCTAATTCATGCCTTCCTTTCCTGTCTCACCATACCTTCCACCTCCCCGCCCCCCATGCCCACTCCTTCCTCAACACAGCTCAGGCTAAAAGCAGCCCACCGCTCTTTTCCTGTTGAGCTATCTATAGCTGTGGCCACCTGTGCAAGGCCTGAAAAGGAGGCCTGCTGCCCGCAGGCTTGGACGCTGGGCTTGTGTGTCACCACAGGCCGGGGTGGTATAAATAGTTCACACTGGCAACGCTTCTTCAGAGAGAACCGCTGTGACACCCACTCTTCCTTCTGATGCTGCAGGAGTCCTCAGCCCCGGCCCCGGTGTCTGCTGTCCGCTGACGGGAAAGTCTTCCTCAACTTATGGTTCATACCTCATCCTTCTGAAGTGCTGGTTATGTTCAAAACTCTGGCAGAAAAGGTTTGTGTTTTTGTGTGTGTACCGGAGTGTAAACTGGCTGGCTTTTCGTGACTCATGGTTCAACATATCAACTTCAGAGAAAGTCTCTTGTTTGTTTCCAGGAACACTTAATAACCGAAATCTTCTCCCAGCTCCTAATATTATTATATTTATTATGTTATTTTATTTATTTATTTTATTTTAACAATTTTTTTTCTAATATTGTCATTTCTCTTGGGCCTCCTTATTTTATGAGTTCTCTTTCTCCCTGGTCATTAATGAGCACTAATTCAAATTTCTGACATTCTTTATCATTCCTCAATTTCCTCCCAAACCCTTAGAAAAAAAACCACCCTGATCCCCTGAAACTCATGAGAGGCTGAGATCACATTTAAGCACAGTAATCAGCTAAGCCTGTGTTGGAGGTACTGCTCTGTGTAGCAAGTACCTAACTTGCTGATAGAGTATAATGCTGCAGCCATAAAAAGAGTTAATATATTGCCCAAACTGGTTTGGCTCAGTGGATAGAGCGTCGGCCTGCGGACTGAAAGGTCCCAGGTTCGATTCCGGTCAAGGGCATGTACCTGGGTTGCGGACACATCCCCAGTGGGAGATGTGCAGGAGGCAGCTAATCGATGTTTCTCTCTCATCGATGTTTCTAACTCTCTATCCCTCTCCCTTCCTCTCTGTAAGAAATCAATAAAATATTAAAAAAAAGAGTTAATATAGTCATACAGAAAGCACTCAAATAAGTATCTGCTCAGTAACGCACAGTGAGGAAAATGGCAGTTGGGAACAGTCTGACTTTTCTTTGTAAGTGAAAGCCTATTTCACAACCTAGGTTTCTCTCACTTTCTTCTCTCCCCTCCCCCCTCAGCTTTATTGAGGTGCAATTAACAAGAACAAGTGTACAACCTGATGATTTAATATATGTACACATTGTGAAAGGATCACCACAATTATGTTAATTAGCTCATCCATCGCCTCATAGTTGCCTTTTGTGTGTGGGTGGTAAGAACATTTATCAACTTTCTTAGAAAATTTCCAGTACTGGGTGAAAAATAATATAAATAGAGCCACTTCAACATGGAATCAGAGCTGCCATCCCTTGTGCATCTTACTCCTCCAACCTTTGGGATGTTTAAACTGAGTGATATAACCTTTGGACTGGGCCTAAAGCAACATTGTAGTCCAAACTATTATTTGAAAAGCTAATAGGAATGAAGACATTCTGACTACTGGACTAAAAATTAAAGACTTTCTTAGAATTAGCAACATCATGTGTAGCTAAAGAATAACCTAGTTTATTTGCACCTATAGAAATTTCATCCTTGATTTATTAACAACAATAGACATTTTTTTCTTCTCTTCATGTAATTATTCCCCTTCCCTTTCGCATGAAAGCTCCTTGCCTTTACCCTCTAATCAGAACAATATTGGGTCTCTGCCTGAATCAGTGCTTCCCAAATAGCTATTCTCTTGGTTCTCAAACTTATTCATCTTACAACTGAAAGCCTGTACCCTTTGACCAACATCTCCCCATTTCCCCCACGCCTTGGCAACCACCATTCTATAAGTTCGACTTTTTTTTTAGATTCCACATGAGTGAGATCATATATCATGTGTCTTTCTTTGGCTGCCTTATTTCACTTAGAATAATGTCCTCCAGGTTCGTTTATGCTATTGCAAGTGGCCAGATTTCCTTCTTCTTTGTGCCTGATTTATATTCGTGTGTATGTGTGTATGTCATTTAAAAAAATTATTTACCTTTCTACTGAACTCTTAGATTATTTCCTTAGCTTGGCCATAGTGAGCAATGCTATAATGAATGCAGGAGTGTAGATAATCTCTTCAAGATACTGAGTTTGTTTCCTTTGTATGTATATCCAGAAGTGGGATTGCTGGATCATATGATAGCTCTACACGCAAAAGAATGAAATTGAACCCCTATCTTACACCTTCACACCTCTCACAAAAAAATAACTTGAAATGAATTAAAGTCTTAAATGTAAGTCCAGAAGTGATAAAATTCTTAGAGGAAAAGCTCCTTGACATTGGTCCTGGCGATGATTTTTTTTATATAACACCAAAAGCACAGGCAACAAAAGTGAACATAAACAAGTAGGACTACATCAAACTAAAAAGCTTCTGCATAGCAAAGGAAGCAATCAGCAAAATGAATAGGCAATCTATGGATTGGGAGAACACTAACAAACCATATATTTGATATGGGGGTAATACCTAAAATATGTAAGAAACTCATAGAATTCAATAGAAAAAAAAAGAAATCTGATTTTAAAATGGGCAAAGGACCTGAACAGACATTTTTCCAAAGAAGACATACGAACAGCCAACAGGTAAATGAAAATGTGCTTAACATCACTAATCATCAGAGAAATGCAAATCAAAACCACAATGAGATATCATCTCACACCTGTCAGGATAGCTATTATTAAAAAGACAAGAGACCTGGACAGGTAGCTCAACTGGTTAGAGCATCGTCTGGATATGCCAAGGTTGCAGGTTTGATCTCTGGTCAGGGCACATACAAGAATGCACAAATAAGTGGAAAAACACTTCTCTCTCTCTCTTCCTCTCTTTCTCTAGAATCAATAAATTTAAAATAAAAAAAAAAGACAAGAGACAAATGTTGCCAAGGATGTGGAGAAAAGAGAACCCTTGTTCACTGTGGATGGGAATGTACTGGTAGAGCCATTATGGAAAACAGTATAAAGATTCCTCAAAAAATTAAAAAATAGAACTAACCTTTCTTTCACTGAAGAATTTGTAAATTATATATATATATATATATATATATATATATATATTCAGTTAGATCATAATTTTATACTTTTCTTCCACTTGGACATAAATATTTAAGATCCAGTGTTTGATTTTTTTTTTTTTTTTTAGTTATATGTTTAAACTGTGTTGATAAATCTCTATGGGTCCCTCCTAGGAGTTTATTTGTAACCCTTGTAATTTAACAATGGTCATACAAACTTTTTTTTAATGTATGTTTGGCCACCAAAGGCTTTAAACAAAGAGAAACACATTGCTTTAAACTCCCCATTCGAGGAGTCACCTTGTCCAAAGGCATCTAACCCAGTTTATGAATGTTTGTTGTTCTGTTTTTCAGATGTTATCTTGTAATTATTATCCTGTATTATGCTATGAAAATGTGTATCTAAATATTTGTGTTTAAATATATTATCTTTAATAGTTACTCATGTATTTTATATGCTTCTTAGAAATTTCTTAAAACTTATTTCCTTGTATTGATTTTACCCACAGGCAGCATTTAGAGCCTTAAAGCTAACGCTACAGCTGATCGCTCCTCTCCATGACATTGTGGCCTACCTTTTCAGTTTCGCTAAACTTGGGAATTTCCCAGCATGCTTTGAATTTCCTCTAAGTCCTAACCCTTTGAGAGGTGACTGGGGAGGAACTGAGGGCATTGGTAAGTCATTAAAGATATTTAAATCATCTTCAATATTCAGTTAGAATTCTGTGAAACTCTTCCTCTACTCACCACCCCCCTCCAGCTTTATTCAGGTATCATTGACAAATAAAATTGTTTAAAATATTTAAAGTGTACAGCATGATGACTTGATACACACATACATTACAAAATGATTTCCTCATCTAGTAATTACTATGAAGCTCTTAACACTTGGAAAGACAGAACTAAAATATTTTCTCATACATTACAGTGATAAGGGCAAAGGGAAATCCTATTATATACTGTCTCCAAACTGATTAATTCCAATATTCCAAGTTAAACCGCAAAGTGTGCACACCAAGTCAGGTGTGAGGAGGCCTGGGTTTTTATCCTGCCTCTGCCACTGGTTACTGGAAGTTGGACACTTTACTCTCCGGGTCTCTGTTTGTCCGTCTGTAAAATGGGGATGATACCTGTCTCATAGAGATGTTCTGTAAATTAAAATCTATGTAAAAATTCTAAAAGGATGTATAAGTCCCACTACATATTAGTGCCCTTTCATTCCCTGTCCCTTCCTGGCCTTCGTGAGCTGATATGACAAGGAAAGCCAAGCATTCACCGTCGGGAAGCTTGCAGACAGCCCTTCGTTAGCTCACAGTGGCCCAATGGTCCTGTCATGAGAACGATTGAGGCTTTAGTGTTGCCTGCCCAGTGCTAAGCCATGAACTCTAGCTCAGTACTAGGTCCTAAGATAAATGCACACGATTCTGAAATGCTTCGTAAGCTGGGTTTATCAGAGGCAGGGAAACTGATCTTGTTATTTTAATAAATTGACTCCTATCTAAATTATGCCATTTGTCATGTAAATGTAAATTAATAGCAATATATTATAACATAGTAGCTAAGGATTTTAAAGGATGAGAAGTACCAGCAAAATTAGGTAATACGCCTACTGAAATCTAGTGGTCTTCAATGTAATAGAACTAGAATCTGTTCCTCTCTGGTCGGTGCTTAAAGGAGATACATCTGTGGAGACCCTGACTGGCTTGCCAGTAGGTAGGTTTACACTGTGCTAATGAACACCGAAGGGATCTGTAAGCATTCAGGTGGGAGACACCGGGGAGGGTGTGAGCGGTGATCCATGAGGAAGATCATGCCTGTGTCTGAGGACAGGCAGCATGAAGGTGGGGCAGGGTTGGTGCTGCCTCGGTAGAAAGCACAGAATTGTTGCCAAAGAACGAGTTTCCAAAACTACTGGCAAGTCTTCAATAGAAGCAGCAGAGATTAGAGAAGTTCCAAAGCACTCTTAGATCCTTTCTTTTCACTAATTCAGGAACTGCTGTATAAAGAGGTTTATTCAGAAAATAAGCTAAGACTCTCTTTGGGGAGCTTCTGGATGTTTCCAGGGTGTGGAGGGCTGAGCTTCAGATGAGGGACAGGAGAAAGGAAGGAAAATTTCCAGGAAAAATGCCGCCCCTGCCCTTGATATGGGGGGACAGGTGCTTTATGAAGATGAGATAGAAGCCGAGAGAGAGCCAGAGCATGTTTTCAAAGGAGGTCGTTGCACAGGAAGTCCTATAGGCCTGCAGAGAAGGTGATCTAGGGAGACTTGTCCTCACTTGAATCAACGGAGAAAAATAGGAGGGATGGTCCTGGCAAGGCAAGCAAAGGGCACGGGCAAAGCACCAGACAGGACTCCCCGTGGCCAGTACAAAGACTGGTGAACCCACCAGCATGACCCTGAGGAACGGTGGGAAATGAGGCCAAATTATTGAGGAGCTAGAATGCAGAATGAAGGGAATTGGTTTCTTACTATTTATATGCTTATGAACTGAAATCACTGACATAGGTAGGGCCCGGGCTTTCCGAGGTGCGGGATTAGAGGCGCACACCTTGTCGTGTTGCCAACAAAAACATTTGTGCTCCAAGAGGATGTGCAGAGTTTTGCATACTCCGCTTTGCTGAAAATAGATAAAGTTGAACTAAAAAAAAAAATCCCACTCTAAAATGATCTTTTTAAAAAGACTAGGCTGTTCAGTTCCTGGCCTGCTTCCCAGAGGAAGCAAAGAGAACCAAGGTGAAAAGATGAGATGGTCTGTTCATACACCCGCCCAACTCCTTCCAGCCATCCCAGAGCTATTTGGAGTTGGGTAAGATGACTTTTGTGGACTTGTATGCTATAAAATATTATTAAAGGGACACTGCGTTTTAGCATTGGTCCTCCCGCTTGACTGAGGAGGCAGCTCTTAGACATGCATCCTAAGCGGACAGCTCTGCGGCCCCTGCCAAATTCCCTCCTTCCGTGAAAGCCAGCAACTCCCCTTGGAGTCAGCATGAAGCAGAGGATGTCATCAGAATGTGGGAGGTTACACTGCGACTTCCTTGTCAGGGTTAGGAGGCCAATTAAAGCCCAGATACTACATACTAATCTTGGTGTTTCAGGAACTCTGGAGACAAACTAGGAACAGGGTGTACTGGCTCTGAGCAGTCACATGAAGACAGGGCCGCTGTGATTCCTCTCTCTGATTTCCCGCACAGGCCTCTGGGGGAAGTGTGGGGGGCAGTGGGGGGAAGGCTCATTTGTTTCCAGGTGCAGGTTTACTCCCAACCCCACCACCAGGACCACAGGCAACCCTCTGCCCTGTCCTCATAGACAGGCTGCCTTCCCAGCCAGTCCCAGCCACCTCCCCTCCCACCGGCTGTGTGACCCCACAAAGACAGGGAAGCCTGAATGAGGACCCTAAAATCAATAAGTAACAAAGGAAGGGTCCGTCCCACCTGTATTTTCATGAAAATGCCACCTATCCCAGGGAACAGTTTTGCTGGGAAGTGATCAGGTAACAGTGCACACACAGCACAATATGAACAGCAATGGAATAATATAAGGAGAAAATCACCCGTAATCTAGTCCCTCTAACAAGTGAAATATTTTTATTATCTTTACTCCCTTCTAGCCCCTGCCCAAATACACTTTACACTTACGCTTAACAGAGCTTCAATCACAGGGCATGTGCAGCTGCATAATCTTTTTTCATTGTCATTGCAGAGGATTATAAACGTTTCGCCCTGGTTGCTGCTTAGACAGAGCGTATTGCTTACAGAGCAAACAGACCAGGCCTTGAACAAATACGGCTCACGGCCCGCCCCTCCTCCCACCCACCGCGGAAGTCCTTGTACAATTCCTTCTAACCTGACTCCTCTGCTGGTGGAAATTCCTTTTCAGCCCAATATGACCATCAGATTTATGGGAGTCGTAAAAAGTTTGATGATTAAACCGAATTCATTTGGAGCTGGGAAAATACTCAAAACACATTTTTCTGTCGTGCGTAAGACATCAAATGCACATGAAACCTGGACTGCTCATCTTTCCCTAAAGCCAAGAGCGTATCACTGCAAGTATTCGCAGCCATCCTCAGTCCTGGTTCCACCCTGAGCGGCTCTGAGGGCAGCTGCCCCACGCCCTCCGTTCCTCTGGCTTGGAGATATGGGAGGAGATCCGGTGCCAGACCAGGCAGTGCAGAGGCTGCTCAAGTCTGGTCAGACTATTGAGGTGGAGTAACTCCCAAAATGGCTCTGGGTCCCCCAACTCACTTCTGCTTGGGCTACGTATCAGGCACAGTGATCCATTTCCACAGTCCTTCTTTTCCCGTGGCCGGGATGTCCTCTCGAGTAGAAAGCTATCCCTGTCCTCACAGGAAGTTGTTGAGTGGTTCAGATAAGCTGGCATGCTGGTATCTCAGCAAGTGTGCCCCCCGCCCCCTACCTCCACCCCCCTCCCCGGTGCTCCCTAAGGGCTCATCCTTTTCTTGTTGCGCTCTCCCCTTCTGACCAGCTCCTTTCCTGGACTATCACAGAGACCATCTCCAGTGGTTCTCAACCTGTGGGTCTCGACCCCTTTGGGGGTCGAACGACCCTTTCACAGGGGTCGCCTAAGACCATCGGAAAACACATATATAATTACATATTGTTTTTGTGATTAATCACTGTGCTTTAATTATGTTCAATTTGTAACAATGAAACTGGGGCTCACCACAACACGAGGAACTGTATTAAAGGGTCGAGGCATTAGGAAGGTTGAGAACCACTGATCTAGACCCAGGCCAGTTTCTTCAATCGAGCATTGAGTGCCCCCAAAGGTCCCTAACTTAAATTTCCACCCAAAACACATATACTATTAAATCTACTGATACGCAGCCTACTTTTGCAGTAAGAGTCCAAGAAATAAGCCAATTTTGGGTCTCTTGTCATTTACTCCCTAAATGACAAGAATCTCCTAGAAGGGGGTGTGTGTGTGTGCATGTACACATCTATGCGTGTATATTGTTTGCTTGCCTTGGACGGCTTGAGTCTTCTTTAATCCAGAGCCAGCAACAGGGTGAGCCAGTGGCAGAGAAGGCTGGTTGGATGGCATGGCCATGAGACATAAGTGCTGGGCTATAATAATTTCAAGCCCCTAAGGAGTCTACTGAGTCCCATATTTTCCTATTCCTTGTAATTTGTCTTTTTCAATCTTTTTAGAGACTGTAGCCTTATGTATTTTAAAACTTTCAGAAGTCTTTTTGGGTTTGTTTGTTTGTTTGTTTGTTTGTTTTAGTATTTGAAGGAATTTTATCTTATATTTTGAGGGAATTTTAAAGTATAATGTGAGAGTCTTCTCAATTTAACATCTCCCCCTTTTGTTAAAGACTGAGAGAGAGAGAGAGAGAGAGAGAGAGAGAGAGAGAGAGAAATCAAAAGCCTTTCCTTATTCTGCTGAAAAGCAAAATAAGTCTTTATCTTCCGAAGGAAGGAAGGAAAGCTACACAGACCTTGGATTCTAGAACATAAGGTTTTTCTGGACTTCCAAATCATAATTAGCTACTCACAAACAAAGAGAAAAGGAAAAAAGTTGTTTTGGGAGGTTAATGATGGTTCACTGGATTAGCTAAAGTAGCTGGTATTTCACACTCTCTCCTAATGTTGTCCATCTTCCAGTGTCTGAGCTTCAAGGGCTGCAGAAAATGATTGACAGCCTCGAGAGTCCCCAAGACCCCACCCAGGTGTCCCAGGCACTCCTGCTCCGAAGGGAGGTTATGTTTCTGCAATTTGATGCTGCAGTGAGGCACCTCACCCGGTAAGGGCTGGAGCGATAATCCTGTCTAGTAAATTCTGCAGGGCAGATGTTTCTGAGTGACCATAGAGGGAGATCAGATGACAAACTTAAAATAGTCAGGGGCACAGCCCTATCCAGAACACTGTGGCTACAAATGTGTCCTGCCACAAAGCCCATGGGTGTGGAATGTGTTCTTGTCGGATAATAATACTCTTGATTTTATTAAATGTGATTTCAGTGCAGTTAGTTTGCATAACAATTGCTGCTTTCAATATTCAGATGATTTTATTGGGAATAATATTTTTTTACTTCTGAAGATGATCCTTTCCAAGAGTTTTGTTTATTGTTTTCAGCCCTTAACTAGCTTTCAAAAGAACAGAGTTTTCACCGTACTTCTGAAGCCAATGGAATCGGCTACCTGAGTTGTTATAAATAAATAAATTTACCCTGGCCTTGTAGGTATTAAGTACTCTGCATATAAAAAGAATGTTTATTTGGTTAATTAATCATGACTGATGAGAAAATTAGTTTGGATTAAGGGTCACTATGTTTCCAGTATAAATAATATGTTTTGTGTAGAAAGGAAAGAGGTCAGTCCTGAGGGTCTCTCCTTATTCTTAAATTGTCAAAATTAATTAACGTCCTTTGATTCGTTCTCTGTGTGAGTATTTAGCCAATGAGGAAGACCTGGGAGGCAGTGAGTGCTCCTCCCTGCAGATGATGATTCCTCGCCACCGGCAGTGTCCATAGAGGATGGAAGTGTGAAGTGTGGGTGTCCATGCAGTGGTTCTCAACCTTCCTAATGCCTCGACCCTTTAATACAGTTCCTCATGTAGTGGTGACCCCCAACCATAAAATTATTTTCGTTGCTACTTCATAACTGTCATTTTGCTACTGTTATGAATCGTAATGTAAATATCTGATATGCAGGATGTATTTTCAGAGGTCGCGACCCACAGGTTGAGAACCGCTGCCATAGAGGATGGAAGTGTGAGGTGTGGGTGTCCATAGAGGAGGGAAGTGTGAGGACTGTACTGAACTATATTTGCTCTTTGTACTCTGCCTTTTCCACACTGTGAGCATCAGGGGACTGGATCCGGCTAATTTGTTTTCTTTTTATTGACAAACAGCTTTCTGAGCTATAGCTTAGTCAAGCAGGTAGGATTTAAAGGCTCTAATTGTCAGGATGGCCATTCATTAGCCCTCGGGGCTCTGAAACCCCAAGTCAGAATTGGCAATGAATTTACATAGGGTGAAAAAATAGGACTATATCCCAGAAGGTTTTTGGGGATTTCTGCTATGTGGGGTTCAGCTTGCTATGGTTCTCCCAGGGGACCCATTCTCCTTCCCCCAGGAATTGCCTTGTGGGGCTCACTTGGTCCTGGCAGACTCCGTCTGCAGGAATGGAGGGCACTGTGGCCTATGTCTGAGTACGTAATACCTACAAGGCCAGGGGTAAATTCGTTTATTTATAACAGCTCAGGTGGTCGATTCCAGAGAGTGGCAGCCCAGAATCAGAACCCAGGTGCATTTGATTCCAAAACCTGAGAACTGGGTGGGTGCCAGGCAGCTGTACGGATAGAAAAGGGGACTCTGAAGAGAAGTCCCCTACTAACCCTGCATCACTGGAATCCAAAAGGAACTTCTAGGACTTAGGCCTGCTTTTTTACCCTACGTAAATTCCTTGCAAATTCTGACTTGGAGTTTCGGAGCCCAGAGCCGGGAGAAAAAGAGAAGCTGAACAGTAAATGTCATCCATCTTGCTGATTTTATTTAGTGCTGAACCTGCAAACAAGGAAAAATCCTTAGATAATCAAAGAGACAGGAAGCTTGGGAAGTGCCCTCGCCCTTCCCAGCACTCACCAACTCTGAGCAAATATGATTGTTTACCCCAGGGAACTTTTGGCTTATGTTAACTGAAGGCTTCTCCAGAGTCTGAAAAGAAAGAGAACTGAACTCTGAGCTAGAATGAGAGCAGCACGCTCCCACAGACTGGGGGGAGGCAGGGAAGGATGAAGCTCTTGGACATTAGGACAGTGCCCCATAGGGTCACCTAATACCTGGTTTCTCCCTCTCTGTGGCACAGCGAGGGGAAGAGGATATTATATGCCATGCAGGGCCACAGAGGAATTGCATTTGGGAAAAGTGAAAAACCAGGGGCTGTGGGAGACAGACTTTGTGCATCGAGAGGACGTGGTGTCCCCTGGTTTCCACGGGAGGATAGATACAATTGGCTCATTTAAATAATTTTGTAGTAAATACTTTTGTGGTCTGGCAGGTGTCTGCCTAAGAAACCTGCAAACCTGTAGAGAGTTTTTATAAGTATTTATTTGAGCCGAATTGATGACACATGCTGGGGAACAAGATCTCAAATGCTCTAGAAAATAAAAGTTTGCCATTTCTTTTATGCATTTGAAATTAAGAAGAGAACTAAGGAAGATTGTATGAAGGTGGGAGAGAGCAAGATGGGGATCGGGTTGCAGTATAGTTAATGAGATTATGTGTTCCCTTGCACACTTTAGTAATAGGGGTATGAAAGGGGGCATTTCAAAGGTGTGTTCGCCTAGATCAACGGTTCTCAACCTGTGGGTCGAGACCCCTTTGGGGGTCGAACGACCCTTTCATAGGGGCCGCCTAAGACCATCGGAAAACACATATATAATTATATATTGTTTTTGTGATTAATCACTATGCTTTAATTATGTTCAATTTGTAACTATGAAAATACATCCTGCATATCAGATATTTACATTACGATTCATAACAGTAGCAAAATTACAGTTATGAAGTAGCAACAAAAATAATTTTATGGTTGGGGTTCACCACAACATGAGGAACTGAATTAAAGGGTCGCGGCATTAGGAAGGTTGAGAACCACTGGCCTAGATGCACAAGAACAATGGACAGAGCTGGCTTAAAAACCTTCACTAAAGAAGTTATAGCCCTGGCTGGTATGGCTCAGTTGGTTGGGTGTCGTCCCATGCACCAAAAGGTTGCCAGTGTTATGGGCTCAATCACCAGTGGGGTGTGTGCAGGAGGAGCTTATTGATGTTTCTCTCCCTCTCTCTTCCTCTCTCTCTAAAATCAATTTAAATATATATATATAGTTATAGGCCTGGGGCATGACTACCCACCATGACCTGCCGCACCCCTTTTTTGTCCACACAGAGAACGGAAACCACTACTCAGAAATAAGCAGGGACTGCACTTGGCCCCTGTGGGGTTGGGGTGGGGAGGGAAACCTGAGATTAGGCTATTCAAGGCCCTCCTGACTTTACCTGATGTCAAGGCAGCATATAATATTGGACCTTAATTTTAGGCCTCACACCACACCTGTCTCCTCCTTCATTCCTCTCAGAGGTGACCCAAGTTCCTGGTGGTGCTTCTAAATCATCCTGGCAGTCAGGGAGGAGTGGCCAACCTCACCCATCTCTGTTGTTGGTTTGCTGGTCCAACCCCAGACCTCTTCTGGTTGGCCTGCTGCTCAGCACCCTGCCTAGACACCAATTTGTGGGGGCTCAGGCACTCCTCCACACTTTGATTGTCTGCTGGTCTCTGGGAGGCTGCCTCCTTTTCCACAGTGCTAACATCTCCCTTAGGCATGCTAATCTCCTTCTTCTTTATGTCTGCTTTATGCAAGACTTGGGCCAAGCCCATGGGGGACCCAGGCCAAAGGTCCCTTCTGTTCTGGGACACCACCCCCTTCCCTCCGACCCCTCCCCATCCTTGCGTATCCTTTGTCAGGATCTTTTCTTGGGCATCCACTAGATCAGCTCTAGAAACAGTCTTTTCTTTTTTGCTAAACTCTTTTTTCCTTTTGAGCAAGAAAGTCATTATAATGTATCATGCATACTTCCTTCTCTACAGCATAGGGTATAAATTTTATCCTCTAGTCTTTAGAACTTATGGTTCTTGATAAGCAAAGCCAAGTTTTGTTGAAAACAAAACAAAAATCTTTCTCTTTCAAACCCCAGGTTCTTATTATTTAACGTAAAATTTAATTTTACATGTCAAGAACTGTTGTCTCAGCTATTGGTCTTAAAATAATCAATTCAACAAGCAATCAATATCATTGTTCTAGAGCAACAAGTGAACTGTCCTATATATTAGCCACATGTGGCTATTCAATGTAAAACTTTAAATTAATATTTATTTAGATTAAATAAAATTTGAAATTCAATTCCTCAGTTGCAGTAGCCACATTTCAAGTGCTCGACAGCTACATATAGCTAGTGGTTACCATCTTGGACAGTAAAATATAGAACATTTCCGCATTTAGGAAGTTCTATTGGTCATTGCTACCTTCTGCTTGAGAGCTGGGAATTGTGGGAGTGAAGGGTGATGTGTAAAGAAAGGGTGAGGGATGAGGTCACTGAGGAAGAAACCCGTTAATGTCTCTCATCTTGCTAACGTAAGTGAAGAAAGTTTTGAGTATTAGAAGCTTAAGTAACTGCTTTTCATGAGATTCCTCCATTTTCTGGTAGAACGTTTCTGACAGCTGGGAATGCTCCTGCCGCCCAGTCGGTCACAGACGGCTCGTGCCACGGGCTGCCACCGCTGAGCAACGCACTGGTGAGGAGCATTTTTGCTTCACAGCTCAGCCTGCCCCCGCCGCTGGATCCACAGAGCCCCCAGGTGTGTTGAGAGGTATTTTATACCTGTAAAAGGCGTGTTGTGCATCGGGGATTTTGTCACTTTGTTTCCATTTGGTTTAAATGTTACAGGGACTCTCCAGCTGTCATGCACTCCCGTCTTGGTTGGCTTCCCTTCGCTCACAGGGAAGAGCAGTGTGGCCCCCACGGCCAGGCCAGCTCTTATTCCCGTCAGGGTTTTTAACTCCAAACTGCTCAACAGGCTCATTGGGGCAAAACTTATCTGCTCACAGCTGGTGGCAAAACCAACATTTGATCTTTTTCACTTAATAAATAATGATAGCAATTACAATACATAAATTAGACAGCAGCTGGGTTTTCAACAGCCCTGCTTATAACATGAGGAGGAGGAGAAGGGGGGCGGGGAGGAGCTATCAAATGTCATCCTGGCCACTATTATTGCTCCTCGGCACCAACAATATTACCCACATTCTACAGCGAAAGAACTTAAGGTTCAGGAAGCCCAGAGATCAGACTGCCAGGTAAACATGGCAGCACTAGCTCACAAACTGTATTAGTTATCTATGGCTGCATAAAACCTACCTCAAAACTTAGCATATTAACACAATAAACAGTCAATCTCATATGGCTTCTGAGGCTCAGGAGTTTGGGAACAGCTCAGCTGAGTAGTTCTGGCTCATGAGGATGCATAAGGTGTTGGCCTGCTGTGGTCATCTCAAGGTTCTTCTGGAGGGGAATTCCCCCAGAGTGAACGATGTAAGAGAGCAAGAGAGAGAACCCAAGATGGAAGTTACATTCGTTTTATTAACTAATTCAGAAGTGACATCGCATCACCTTTGCCATATCCTATTCCATAGAAGCGAGTCACTAATTTCATCACACACCAAGGGGAGAAGAGTTAAACTCCACCTCTCAATGGGAACAGTAGCAAAAAATTGGTGGACACCTTTCAAACCACCTCACAAGCCCAGGTCTTTTGACTCCAAAACCTCCAGCCTAATGTTTTTATGTAGTAATGCCCACATCGACCCCATGGAGGTCTCACGCTTCTACCTTCCCCAGCTATACTGTAAGACAATGACTCTTGGCCCAAGCCTTGACCCTCTCTTAGACCCAGAAGACAAGGTTGGACCATGACCATTGGGTGTGTTCCTTCTGCCTCTGGGTGTCACCTGGAATTAGGCGGATACAGGTATCTTGACTCCCTGCCAGCTAAATCAACTCCAGATCTAGGAATTGTCTGAAGCCAGTACCAGGTCTGGAAGTGTCAGATGGGGTCAGATGGGGTCAGATGGACAGGTCCACTATATCCAGGGCTGCTTGTGGTGCTACAAGGAGTAGGGGATGCCTTGGCTGTTGGACAGTAATGTGGAAAAGATAGTGTAACATTGTGGCATTGATTTTGAGTTGTTACCTAGAATTGAATCACAACGGTGATTAAGGACAAATTTTTAAGATTCCTAGTATTGAGAGCATTTGAGTAAGTTTACTTTGTTGACTATAAGTATGTCCCATTGGTATTATACTGTTCTGGAACTTTCAAACGATGTTCTGACTAGTTACACTGAAGTCTTGAGTATCCTGTGTTTAGCCACTTTCTGAAAAATCAATTTAATAAAACGAGATTACAACTCTCTCCTCTACATCATTAGGGACAATACATTAAGAACTATTTCTACATAATAAATAAATCATCCCACAGTACTTTGGGGTGCAGACAGAGTTATCCTGTTCATATACAGATGTCTATTACTTATGAACTCAGTACAGCATTATCACGTTTATTATTTGTTTTTTTTAAGGCATCTGTGCTGTTCCCTTGGAGAGCATTTCTAGAAGATGGAGGACCATTTCCAGTTATTAGTAGCAGCCCAGATACCCTGGAATATAACATGCAGGTAGGCTAGGTCTTCCCACTTGTCACAGAAGTAACTGAATACAGATTGCAAAGCAAGTGTCATTGGACCATAAGTCAGATCCTCCACCCTCTAGCCAGTGGTGAATAATTTATGAGCTAACCAGGGTGTTTTATAATGAGGCTGTAAACCCAATGACTGTAAGATGAAACATGTTCTCTTACATCAAAAGAGAATCCTGGTCTGAGCTGGTATCAGCCTTGGTTGTAAACTCAGCTGAGATTCCCATGGCCCTTAATGATCGGGAAGGGAGGCCAGCCTTTCCCAGTCACTCTTTGGGCCTCTTAGAGAAACACCCATGCTGGCAGCTCAGAGACATGTGACTTCTGACCCGTCTCTGAACAGTGGTAGGAAGAGAACTCTGTAAGCAGAACTCATGCAGAGAATTTTTTTCAATTATGTGTTTTCCCCGATTATTTAAGCAAATAATCATTTTTAAAAATATAGAAAAAATTAAGAACAGCATGAAAATCAATCATAAATTTGCTTCAAAATAGTATATGCTCAAAGTTCTCCATAAGTCAAAAAGTGTGGGTTTTCTAAGTAAAATAGTAAGAATGTTAAAAAAAATAATTATAGCCTCCCACTAGGAGACAATCACAATTCACTTCACATTTTGGGTTATTTTTCCCCAGTATTTTCCCTATGCATACATGTGTTTGTATCTGTACTTTTGAAGGAAAATTGGCATCACACTATACATTCCCTATGTACAGACACCACTGTAAGGGCTGGGAAACTTGGACTTCCATACAGAGCCAAAAGTCTGATATGTTCCAAGAAGACTTTGAGCTAGAAATGGTACTCTGATTCTATAGAATTTTTTAATAGTTGAGAAGTCAGGGCTTGTAAACATAATTATTTCTAGTTTTCTCCCCAAAAGCTATGCATAAAGGATACATATAAATCTTCAAAATGGATGTTTTTGTTTTGTTTTGTTCTTTTTTGTTTTTAGCTGTGCCTCTGTAGGTTGGGTGACCATGACCTCAAGGTGGCTCATGGAGAGCTGGTGGACATGCAACTGCTAATGGAAGATGTACTTCTGAGTAGTTATCATATGATCGCGGAGGGCCCCCCAGGACGGCAGGGCACACTAGACAAAAATACGCAGGTATTCTTGGTGAACAGTCTACATAGTTGGCCAATGCTATGTTGTCCTAAAGGACCTTCCTGGTTTGGAGATGGACTAGAAAGCCACATCTGTCCCACGGCCTCTCCTAGTGGGTCCCAGGACTGTGCTAATGCTGCACAGGAGGAGCAATGAAGCAGCACTAGCCTGTGAAAGCCACTCCAATGTATTGTCTTTCACAGTAAGTCCCATGATCAGTGGGATATCCATTTCTTTTAATTAAAAAACTAGAACAAAGGCTTCGAGAGGTCCATTGAACCCAATAGAACAAATACTCCATTGCTGGCTGCTTTTCCTTGTGAGTCACACATTTAGGCCTGGAGTTGGAAGGACCCGGGTGAGCATCTCCAGCCTGGGCTCCAGTCTTCATCACTCAACTACCCGGTGGACTCCTAAGCAAGCACTCCCTCCTTCAGACGTGTCCCTCTGAAATTCTAAGGTGCCAAGAGCCACTAGCCCACCTAGCATCATAGCCTGAAACAATTCTGCATGTGTCTGGGGACCAGACAGAGACTTGTCTGGACGCAGGGTAAGCTAGCTGGGGTCCCTATTTAAAGAGCCTCCCTAAGAGCTAAATGTCCTGAGAGATGCATGCACCAGCCATCTCCATTTCCTTACCTTCCATCTACTCCTCAGAAACCGCAATCTCTCTTCTTCCCCATCTCACCACTGAGCCCACCGTCATCAAGAGCACAGGGTCCTTGTCACTAATCCTCTGGATACTTTTCAGTCCCCTTCCAACTGACTTCTTCGCAGCATTGACACAGTGTGTCCTTCTTGAAGCCTCTCTTCCCTGAGCTTCCAAAGCACAGCTCTCGCCTCGTTTTCCTGCTGGCCGGGCCTTCCCAGGCTTCTCTGTAGACTCACCTACCTCTGCCAACCTCAAAAATGTTAGTTTCTTTTGGGTTTCATCTCCTTACTACTGCCACCAGGGCTGCATTTTGACTTGCGTGGCTCCAGCCATTATTTACTTTGTGGGCCCCTTCCTCCATAAAAATACAATTAACAGTTACAGTTTACAACTATGTTAGTATAAAAATATATATGTTCACATCATAATTTATTAAAATATTTTCTTCAACTTAAATCTTTTTTCTACTACTTTAAAAGAAATTAAAATATTTTGTGGGCCCTAGGCACTGTGCCTTCTGTATCTAATCAATAAGTTGCCTCCGAATATTACTATTGCTGTGATTGGGATCTGTTCAGACTGCTTTATTAATTTCTTTAATCTTTACAATGATTCTATGAGATAGGTACTTTCATTTTTCTCCTTTTACGGATAATACCAAGGCTTGGCAAGGTTAAGTGATGTGCCCAAAATCACATGCCTAGTGAGGAGACAAACCCAGATGCCAACCTAAGGGTCTGGCCCTGGAGCTCCCTCTTACTCTTAGCCACTGTGTTGCTCCATGCCCCACCCTGTCTGTCCCTACCCACCTATCTACCTTTATGACTTTGATGACTTTGCATGTGATGACTCCGAAATCTACATGTCCAGTCCAAATCTCAGTCCTATCAGATTCACATGTTCAACTGCCTTATTCCATCTCAGAAACATCTCTACCTTTTCCATCTCAGAAACTGTGTGTCCCAAACTGAGCTCATTTTACTGCCCCAAAACTTGCTCCTCTTTCCATATTCACTGTCAACTTACCACCACCTGCCCCATTGTCCAAACCAAAAAATCTGGACACCCATCTCTGACTTCTCTCTGTCATACCCTGTAGTCAGACACAAGGTTTACTATCCTATTATTTTTTTAACATATTTTTATTGATTTCAGAGAGAAAGAGAGAGGGGGAGAGAGAGATAGAAACATCAATGATGAAAGAGAATCATTGATTGGCTGCTTCCTGCAAGCCCCACTCTGGGGATCAAGCCCACAACCGAGCATGTGCCTGACTGGGAATCGAACCATGACCTTCTGGGTGATGTCAACCCTTGAGCCATGCCGGCAGGCTAATACCTTATTATTTTAATATCTCTCAAGTTTGTCTACTTTTCTCCATCCTCCCTCACTATCACACATCCACCAGTCCAAATCATCACCTCCTAATGCAGGGCTATGATCATAACCTCTAATAAGACCCCCTATATTCACTCTTGCTTCCTTCCACTCTAGTCACCAAGATAATATTTTAAAATGAAAACCTGATTATGTCACTTCCCTCCTATAATCCATCAAGCACTTCCAAATGCCTTAAGACTAGAGTTCACATGCCTTAACCAGACCTTCACAACTTGACTCCTGCCAATATTTCTACCCTCGACTTCTTTCATGTTGACAAACACACCATGCGCTCTCTTCTCAGTACCTTCCTGCAAGCTGGCCCCTCTGGTGGAAAAATTTCTTCTTCTCTCACTTTCTGCCTCATCATCCAATATAAACTCCTACTTATCCTTCAGGTTTCAACTTCCAAACCAGCTTTCTGAACGACTTTTCTGACCTTCCATCTTTAAGCAAATAACAGGTTGTCCCACTAGCCATGACTTAAATTAGAGGAGTGTGTTAATCTTTCAAAACAAGATTAGAAGGAGGTAGGTCACTCACTAGGTGCTGGCACTCAGCTCTGCCATCCTGGTGTGTCAGCAAATGCCTCCCTCATCCTTGTAAAATGAAAAGAGGAGCAAAAAGCTTTCTCCTTAGGAGGCTTTATTTTTTTATCAAGGAGGAAAAAACATTCCAGACACGCCCGCCCCCCAATAGACTTTCCTGTGTCTGACTAACACTGAGTAACAGGTCCACTTCAGACCTTTTGGTGAGAAAGGAAGTGTGTTTAGATGCGCCATTTAAATTTCACAATAGAATCAGATGCTTCACTGCGGAGGAGCATTTGCAAAGCTGGGTATAGACCAAATAATGCCAAGATCAAGAAGCATGCTGGACCCTTTGGTCCCTCTCTTTACCATATTTCGGTCCTGTTTCTGACGGATTACCATCGTTCCCCAACACCCCCGACTCCTCCACCTTGTTCTTTATCCTGCTTCCTATTCCTTCTCCTATCCTTTAGAACACATAGGAAAAGAAGACTTCTCTTAATATGAATACTTGAGCCTTGAAAAACACCAGTTTGAAAATGCACGGGTCTGCTTTTACATGGGCTTTTCCAATGCACAGTTAGCCCCCTCTACCCTCGGGTTTCCCATCTCGATTCAACTTAAGTTCACAGCTCAGGGGTCGGTGCCCCTAGCCCCCATGTTGTTCAAGTGACAACTATATATTAACACGGTGAGTTTGCTTCAAAATTATTGTTTACTCTAATCAGTTTTATTTTATGATTTGCTTTATTTAAGAGTATGTAACTATCCATAGACAATAGTAAACACTGGAGCTTATACTGCCTGTGAGCTATGACTCTGGGTTCCCTGTTTCTGCTATGCCATCAGCTCTGTGATCTTTTAGACTTCAATCTAAACCTCCAAAGGGAAAGTGATGGACTAGCTCAGGGCCTTTAAAACTGTGGTCCCAGAAGCCCTGCGTTCCTCAGAGGCACCTTGGGGGTTTTTGAACAGAGGGGCCAACTCTGTGGCCTGTAGGCTGCACCTCCTATCACCCTGTTTGGCCCTGGTCTGTTGGATATTTGGGGCTACTGCGTGTAATTTCATGGGACAAAAAGATTTCTGAAGATTAAAGAAATCTGGAAATGCATGGATTAGCTGATTGTTGAAGAAGCAGGCTACCAGGTTGAGGGGTTGCCAGCTGTCTTCAGGAGCTCACTCTGCCCCAGGTCTTGCTTGCCAACTGTCCCTCTAACCCACTCTCTTCTGGCAGCCATGCCTTCCTTCAAATGTTAATAGCACTGCTGGAGGATCCAGTTACACCAGGTGCTTGTTCTTCCTGTTCCTACCCAGGAAACTCTGCCTATGGTGCTAACACCTGATTGTTCTCTGAGGCCCTTCTTGTCATAACATCGTGATCAGATTTGCCATTTTCTTTTGCAAAGGAAAGTTCCTTTTCCTGTGACTGAGACACTATTGTCAGACTGAGGGCCTGGATACAGGTCCCATTCTGTCTGTCCTTCCACTGGTCACAGGAGAGCAGGGACCTGAACCCCTTTCTTCCTCCTCTCCCTCCAGGGCTCATAGCAGCCCCTCAACAAACACTTACTGTAGAAAAACACAAAAAGATGAATGAACAAATCATAATTTTAAAGTAAAAGTTCCTATTGAATAGTAAATTCCAATTAAGAGACACTTTAAAAGTGCTATCTGCCTTTTAAAGGATGGTAGAGGACAGGAGGTAAGATAGGCTTAAGTTTCAATTTCCTTACCCATACAATGGGCAACATCCCCGATTTAAGGTTCTATTATTGCTCTCCCATGTGTGGAGTTAAATCTCAAGTATGTTGACAAGCACTTTCCAGAACGCAGAGGCTGAACATGAAAGGCTTAATTTTCCAAAGGGAGATAAAATGTCAGTACCCAAGTACGAAAGGTGTAAAAATGAGTGGTTCAAGACTCACGCAGAAAGCTGAAATGGAGGCCTTCCTCTCCTGTCAGTCCCGGAAGGATGTTTCCCCAAGTCCTACAAGTGCTGCAGGTCCCTAAACCCCTCCTCCTGGGGAGAAGAGTCATTCTGCAAAGACTTCAAGGGCTGCAGGTAAAAGTTTATCCTGTCTTGGTCCATGATCAATAAAGAGGAATTCTGCAATGTTTTCAGCCAAATTTGCCCAGAGCGTCAGGATTCGGAAGTCAGTTCCAGAGCAGCCCAAAGGCCCCCTGGCATCTGGGAGGCCCGTGTGAGGCAGTGGTGTCCCTTGCTTTGCTGAGATCGTTTCTGGTGCTGTGGAAGCAGCTGGAGGTGCTGAAGGAGCAGTGGGGCCGGCTCAGGCTGGGAGGCCAGGACATCACTTCTGTCTCTCTGCACAAACAGTTCTCGGAGCTCTACGAGTGAGTGTGCTAGGGTGCAAATGCATGGGAACCTGGGGTTGGGCAACTTCCAGCCCCTTGCTCTGGGGGTGAGATCTGGTCCATCCGTCCTGGGATGGCCAGGCCCACTGAGCCCAGAGGAAGCTGGGCAATGTGTCTCTACAAACAGTGCTTTACAGGAGAAGCTGGGTTCTGTTGGCTGCAGGGAAAGCCCTGGATCCCACTAGGCCAGTGGTCAGCAAACTGCGGCTCGGCAAACTGCGACTCGCGAGCCCACATGCGGTTCTTTGGCCCCTTGAGTGTGGCTCTTCCACAAAATACCGACTTCTGCCTTCTGCTCATGGGCCATGAAGTTTCAATCGCACTGTACATGCGCGCCCGCACGTGGTATTTTGTGGAAGAGCCACACTCAAGGGGCCAAAGAGCCACATGTGGCTCGCAAGTCGCAGTTTGCCAACCACTGCACTAGGCAACACCACACATCATTTATAGAGCTCTGTCCCTGGGAACTTGGGCTTCTAACGTGTGCCCAGAGTGTGGACGCTAAGCTTTCAGCTCATAGGATCCCAGGGAGCACTGGGTAGGGAAATGCTGCTGCTGCGAATTCCTCCCCGCTCTCTGCCCCATTAGACTCACGTGCGGAGTCTCTGAGAGCTTCCTGCGTTGCAGCCAGAAATTTCATAGGGCAGAGAGGAATCATCAGTCCTGGCCAAGATGACTTAGCTGGCAGGAAAGCCACATTGCTCCTGCCACGTGTCTGTCACCAAACAGGCACTCACTAAGCACCCACCCACCACCCTGGGCCTTGCTGAGCACAAGAAGGTGGGGTAGTCTGAATTGTGTGTCTTATGAATTATTAACAGTCAGCTTCCCTCGTTACTAGGGAATGAGAAGACTAGTCAATATTTTGGAAAATGAAGACTGAAATTAAATGTACCCAATGGGAAAAGGTCTTAAGATTTAACATTGACTAAGGGAGTAGTAACTGTGGTGAATTTGCATGTTGATGTGTCTGTAATGAGTTGGGAGGTTTATACATGATGACAGGAAACAGAACTGAAAATAATTGTCAGAGAATCTGAACGAGAAAAAAAATATGTATGTTTGTAACTTTGGTCTCTCTCCTTTAATAGAACTGACATTCTGTACCCCAGCATGAAAGCTATAGCCAGGAGGATGGGGCAAGAAGATGCATTTGAAGAACTTATAATAAGTAGTCAGTCTATTCTCCCCCCCGAAGGAGCCTCGGAAATTGAAATAAAGACTCAGCAGGTATGCAGGAGCTCTTTTGAATTTGGCTTTGACATTTTGCTTTATGGTATTAACAGATTTACCTGAGTGGTGTGTTGTTGTTTTTCTAAGAAGTGAAGTGTAAATTGAAGGTTTGTAAATCATTGAACAGGCTGAGAGGGAACTAAGTATTTAAAGGCATGTGGGGCTTTGACTAAGCAAATAACTACCACTTAATGTTTCAGAACTATAAATCTAGATTTTCATATTTTAATTTCCCCAAATTACGGTGTACCACCACAAAACAAAGACGACAAAAGAAAATATAACCATTAGCATCTTAAACATAAAATCCATCACACAGATATCCCCCCCAATACACACACCATGGAAATGTATAAAATAGTTCATGTGATTGTTTTTCTGAGAATAAGACACCACCACTTTTGCGCTAGCCCGTTCGGTGTGTGTTTTAGATGATCTATATGGAGAGGAGGTTTTCCCAAGTGTTTGTTCACCTTGGTCCTGGGACACAGGCTCCGTGTGGTTGTGCTCATTGTAACAGATGAGCACAGCCTCTAACTGTTTGGGTGTCACTGCCGAGATGCATGACTACTGAGCGTCAAGGAGAAATCAGCGCCTCCCCCAACACACACACACACACACACACACACACACACACACACACTCGCAAGCAACGTGTGCTCTGTGAGCATAATGTGTAAAGTTAGTGGAACAGGGTTTTCTCTTGGTCATGTATGAAGTTTTAAATATTCTCATGAAATCCTCCTTGGTGCCTACATCAAGTTTCAGACCTGAGGGCTTCTCATAATAATAGATCACAACATTCCTGCTCACATTTAGAGACCCCAAAACATATGAGGTCACCTCAGACATTGAGCACTCTGCAATTTAACAGAATTTGTTAGCAAAAAGGGTTATATTTTATTAGTCAGAATGTAGGCCAGGAAGAAAAAATGCTGGTCTCCAAAGAGGTGTACGCCCCCCCCCCAAGACCTACCTCCCCCCACAGAAGCCTTGGGAGTCCTCGGCAGGAGCCCTTCCTCCTTCCGGGGAGGGGGCAGTTGAAGGCCAGGACAAGCCCAAGGCCCTTCTGCAGGAGTGTGACTTGGAAGCCTAGAGTGTAAACTACGTGTGAAGACTGACTCTCAAACTGCTTACTCTAGCTTCAGACACTGCTGGAAAACCTTGAAATTCATATGATCCAGGAGGTATTAAGACAAGTTAACAGAGAGCTAGCACTGGTTGTGTCAGAAAAGTCCAAGGAGCAGCCTACTCTCCCCACAGGTAAATTATCATTATCTCACAAATAGCATTTACTGTTCTTTCCTAATTATACAAGCAATCCATGTATCCATAGTCAGGCTAAAAAAATCTATAATGCCCAGAAAATTACATAAAAATTACTTAACATCTTGACCCGGAGAGAAGTACTATTAACACTTTGATATATTTGCTTCCACTTACAGGGCTTTCAACATTTGTCGTATGTCAACTGCAATAAGTGAAATTTAAAAATAAATAAATACATAGAAAATATTTGTTAACTTCAGTCTCAACTCTGCTTGTTAACTCGAAACTGAAATAAAATTGAAATGAGGGAACACCTAAAGCTTTTCTTATTCCATGTGTGCAGGCATATATTACACATATATGGCATAAACATGTAAAATGTTAGAAATGCACATATTTGGGTAGGAAAGCAATCTAACGCCAGGGTCGCTTCATAGGCGCATGACCAGTGTGCTCACACAGGACTCAGGGCACTTGGAGTTCAATGCTCTTTGGGTACCATCTGGAAACTCCTGATTTTAACGTAGAATTTCTGTTTGGTAATGGTATACTGGAAATCAGCGAGCTGAACATAAGATGCCTTAATAAGCCAAATTAATCTGGAGTCTTTTATTACGCTAGCGGGCTCAGAGGAATATTGCTTCCAGGGTCTGAGCAAAAACATGGAGGAAGCTTTCCCTTTTTATATTTTTCTAATGTCTTTGTCTCCTAAATATGGGGCTTCCAGTCCCTTTTGCAAGTTTTCAAAGAGCCCTATGTATGCTTAGTAGATATCTTGCAGGAAACTTGCAGCCTTGAGTACAACACAGTTCAGTAGCCTTGCATACAGATAACTAAAAGACACCTGGTATGGGGTAGCTAGGGACGGCAGCGGAGCGGCTTGCAAGGTCAGACAGTTGAGCTTGTTTTCCCTATCATTAGAGCAAACGTGTTTTACAGAAGCCAATAATAGCAGAATTAATTCACAGAACAAAGGACTGTCTGTGTCTAGTGGAAATTTCAAACAGCAGTTTTTACAAAATAGAGGTTACTATGCTTCAGTAAGTCGAATCCAGTGAGTAGATGGAGGGTGCACCAAGGGCTTGGAGCTCTGGCTCACAAACAGTCCCGCCTCCTGTTGCCTCCCCAGCTTGCCAGGAGGGCTTCTCAGCTGCCTGCTCCTCTGCCCTCTGTCACCAAGGACACCCCTAAACTTCCCCTCACCAACCCATCAGCAATCGCTGCAGCCCTCACCCCAGTGGGGGCCTGAGCCTGTCGAGGGTCAGGATAGGGTGTGTATAGCTGGCAGTGTCTAAGGGATCCCAGGCTGACAGCACCACAGTGTGTTGGATGGGTGACTCAGTGGGGACAAGCCTGTTGCACTTCCCTAGGTACCTAAAATATCCCAGGGCAGAGGTTGTAATACCTTTGGGTTGCCCATCTACAGGGGGTTGGGGCAGAAGGGGTCATGCCTGGCTCTGCTCCTGGCTAAGGCATGAGGCCTCAGTTCTGTCCCTGGTGGATCACATGTACTCAGTCACAGGGCAGGGTCTCTGGGTGCCCATGAGGGTCCAACTTGCCCTGCAAGCATTCCCATGCCTGGGTGTGCAATGTTAACACTTGGAGTGGGGGAAACGAGTTAAGTCGGCTCGCGTGAATTGCGCGTACTCCGCGGGAGCCGTCTTTAACTCGGTTCATATAGATTTGCGGTGGAGTGCGGGAAACGTGTAAACTCGGGCCGATTGTAACTGCGTATTACCAAATATTTGTTTGTAATCCACCCTTTTGGTGGATGGAACAAAACCAAAAGACAGAGCCATCTTATATTTTGGCGGGAAATTCACCCCACACCGGAGTGTTAAAAACAAATAAGAACACCATGGCAGGTCAAGAGAGAGATTGTGGAAGAAAGGAAAACTCTGCTTTTAGTACCTATCACGGTACTTTTTTCCTACTTTTGGAATAAGAAGCTCTGCATTTTTATTTTTCAGGGGGTGCCCCAGAGTACATAGCTGGTCCTGTCTGAACTGCGGTATCTATTCCTAACTCCTACTAATCCTGTGAGAAAATCCACAACCTTTGAGCTATGGAGGGGTTGTCTGACTAGCCAAATAATTTAGGTTTTCCTCTTGAGGCAACCCCACAGATTGTAATGTTTATGAATAACCTCTGTCCTCACCTAAGCCCTTGTCATTTGATCAGTGCTTCAAGTAGCTGGATCTGTAAACAGGGCTCTGGGAAGAGGCTGTGCAGTGACAGGGCAAGCCACGCCCTCTGGGCAGCTCTGAATGTCACCAGAGAGCTGAGTGTGGTTGAGCTCCCGTTACAGAACATTTAACGAGACACAAAGTGCCTGTTGTTTGCACTGCCTCGGTTGCATCCAGGTGGCTCCTGGGAGAAAATCCACAAGCACACGGCAGGTGCAACCATCTGCAAGTTTCCAGGCTGTAGTTCTTATGAGACTAGGGGAGGAAGCGTCTCTGCTCTGTGGCTATGTGGTGTGTGCCCTGGGCAGGGTGCTGCTCAGCTGTGCTTGGAAAGGCCGTCAGGAAGGGGCTGGTGGGAGTCAGGCAGAGGGGAGGGGTAGAGTTATTCTGAATGGTGGTAAGGCGGATATGCCCAAACCTTACTCTGGCTAGAGTATACTGGCCAATTCTAAAGTCTTGCTCAAATTCTGTACTCATGAAGCTTTTAAAATAAGTGCCAATGGTAAGGGTGTTTGGTTTTTGGTTTGGGTCTGTCCAGCATGACTTAACGTGGAGGTCTGGGGCTCCTCTTGTACTGCCTTCCCCCCATTCAAGTGATAAGAGACCTCTCTGCCTGCCGGGGTGCTGTTCTGTACATTTCCTCAATCTAGGCTTCCCGTGATCTCTGTGGGCTGCTTTCAAAGACGGTGATAAAACCACCTCCTGCTCATCTCAGCAGTAAGAAGCAGCCGTAGTGGATGGGGCTTCCAACAGGGACCGCTTTTTCATGTGAGACCACCCTTTGTGGTCAAGGTAACTTGGGGCCAGGGGTTTCTCTAGAGCAGTGGTTCTCAACCTTCCTAATGCCACGACCCTTTAATACAGTTCCTCATGTTGTGGTGACCCCCAATTTCATTGTTACAAATTGAACATAATTAAAGCATAGTGATTAATCACAAAAACAATATGTAATTGTATATGTGTTTTCCGATGGTCTTAGGCGACCCCTGTGAAAGGGTCGTTCGACCCCCAGGTTGAGAACCACTGCTCTAGAGGGAGTCAGGAATGAAGAAACTGAGACCAGGGACATCATAAGCGCCTGTCCTTCCCTTAGGGCAGTGATGGTGAACCTTTTGAGCTCGGCGTGTCAGCATTTTGAAAAACCCTAACTTAACTCTGGTGCCATGTCACATATAGAAATTTTTTGATATTTGCAACCATAGTAAAACAAAGACTTATATTTTTGATATTTATTTTATATATTTAAATGCCATTTAACAAAGAAAAATCAACCAAAAAAATGAGTTCATGTGTCACCTCTGACACGCGTGTCATAGGTTCGCCATCACTGCCTTAGGGTCTCCTCTCTCCCTGTTGGCGGGCTCAGGTGTCTACATTTATACCTGCCAGAAAGGAACCCTTGATCTTCCCTCTACCTTCTTCCCCTCTCCTCATCTAGTCGTAGAGCTTCATCTTTCTATACAGCTTCTGAGTGAGTTTTCAGTTTCGGTTTGTCAGTGAGCATTGGAAATGTGGCAGCCACACCCAGTGGTGCTGATTCTCGGTAGTGGAACTAATGCTCCCCTGAGAACTTTCAGGAGTGGCTCCAGACACCCCGTACAGCCTCTGGATTCACCTTAGCAGAGCCATGGACTCCACTGATGCAGAAAGGCTCTGCCATTCTCCATCATAGACATTTTGGCATTAAAGTCATTTTTAATTGATTTCCTAAACTTCTCTGAGCAGTTATAAGGCCTGTAGTCTCCAAAGTAGAGTGCATATATTTCAGGGGTGTGGGAAGAAAATACTAGAACTTCTAAGTAGATTAAATTTATATGTAAGAGTCACATGTCACACTCCACAATGAGGTATCCTAAAGTGACCATAGGGAGGTAATCCAGAAGTGAATATGAAAAAATAGTAGAGGTGACACTCTAATCCAGGTACATGCTTATCCTTAGCCATATTATGAGGTTTAAAAAAAAAATAACTTAGCCCTGGCTGGTGTCTCAGTGGCTATGGTGTCTGCCCGCACACTGGAGGGTCCCAGGTTCGATTCTAGGTCAAGGGCACATACTTGGGTTGCAGGTTTGATCTCTGGCCCCCGTTGGAGTGGATGTGGGAGGCAACCAATTGATGTGTCTTTCTCACATCGATGTTTCTCTCTCTCTCTCTCTCTCTCTCTCTCTCTCTCTCTCTCTCTCCTCTTCGCTCCCTTCCACTCTCTAAAAATCAATGGGAAAAATATCCTCTGGTGAGGATTAACAAAAAAATAAGTAAATAAATAACCTAATCACATCTGATAAGAAGTCAGGCAAAAGGATTAAAAGGTCAAGGGAACTATGGGAATATGGATTGAGATTCACTCTTACTGTTGATGGACCTCACCCTAAGTACATCATGCTTTGCAATGTTAGCCAGTGATTGTACTGTAGGTAGTTAGAAATATTAGAAATACATAAACATAGATGTGTTAAAGGTGAGTGGATAAAACTGTTTCACTTGAGGGAAGCACAATCAAAATACTTACCTGTAGGAGTGTATGGTCCAGGCCAGCATGCCCCCAGCAGTGTGCCCTGGAACACAAGTTTCTCAACATGTTAATGCAAAAGCTCTCCCAACCACCCTCCACTAACAGACTCAGGGTTGCCTGAAGCTTCCCATTCCCTTGGTAACACAAGCAGGCAAAGTACTTACTAACCAGTCTTTGGGTTGCATATGTTCACCTAGCATCATTGATCATTGTTTGCTCCAAACCTGTTTATGCCACTTTTACTTGTCATTTTGCTTGAGTAATTTAATTCCACATTATGTAACCCATAGAAATAG